TTACCTAGTGAGTTACTCTCACTTCACGCAACGTTTTTTGAGCCGTATCCCGATAGGCGTCTAGAATCCACCATTAGGAGCCACTTCCATGGAGTTCCCTAAGGCAAGGTGTACTTGATCCACCGCCTCACCCACAAAATTGACTTGCCTCTCCACAGCAACCAAAACTGTCACTATGCTTTCCTGATAACTACAGAACTTCCGCCACTGCTTCCAATACCGCGATGGCGTCTGAGACCATCAACTCCCGAGGAGGGTGAGCCGTACCACTCGTCCAAATACCATGACAATGCAAGAAATACTGCCGTTAAGGTATCCCAGCATTGCCATTGGGTCTTGCAGTGCAGCCTTTATCGTCGTTTCCCGCGGCAATTCGCTTTGCTGATACGAAAAGTAGACCAATCTCTCAAGATACAAATCACTGGTAATTTTTTGCAAAACGGAAACCATCAAAGAGATCTACCCGGGCGTTGCAGGTGATTGACACGGATCATCAAGATAGTCGTGCCGCCTTGAGTTAAATTCAACACGACGTAATCATGCCATGATCATAAGGGGTGGTGATTGTCACCTAAGCTGTGAAAAGTGCTTCAAACATCTCGAAGTATTCTGTGCATAAATATATGTCAATAATTAAAAATACTGCAACCATTAGTTCTGGTTGTATGTAAAGTATTATTCTACCATCGCTACAATTGATTAAGGTATCGACGCTATGATCAAGGCATAATTTGAAGTAACCGTGACAACATCACGTATATTGAGTCCTTTATACTTTTATTAATACATTTGTTACCTTTAAGCCTTTGCTTAATTCTCCTCGGATTACTGCACCTATACTACAGAATGCCCCCCAAACAATCTGACCGCAAGTCGGAGAACCAATATGAGAACCTTTCCAGTTCTACAGAGAATCCCGGTGGATCCGATTCTCAACAATGATAGTTGTCAAGGTGGAACCATGAATGAGCTTGGGCATTTGTACACCAAAGTTTTTCTACTCAAGTACTTCATATATGAGTTTAGTGATGTTAGCAGTGTGTGGTGTTTCAAGCCAGTCGCAACCCGGAGGTATACAAACGACTTTGGTAACTATACTCTGACCAAAAGCCATCTTAGTTAGTTCCAATATCACTTCTGGGTCATCAACAAAGGGATACATTGACGCTGGTTGCCATAATGTTTGAGATTTTGAGAATATCTTGCCCGTGACAAAATACATACACCAGCATCCTTATTCATTTGTGGATCAAAAACTCATCACATGCAACGTTTTGAGTCCCCCGCCGCGATTTGATGCGTTGCCAAAATCCTCTTTATACTTGTACATTAGACCCCTAGTTTGTTAAGCCAAACAATCGAAGAGTTCTCCTTGCTGGCAATAAACTTTCACCAATGGATAGCGCAAATTACACTTATATAACCTAGTGTATCCTCACCCCTGAGATCAAAAAATTAAGGTTAGAGATGAGCGAGTTTATGCGTATTGTCGGGGCATATGATGACCAATTTCACGAGAAACAAAACCGAAGCAGAAAGCCGTATTACAAGCTTAAAGACATCAGTAATTCTGGAGGAGAAATTTGGTAATTCCATCATTGCTTGGTTTGCCCTCAGGTCGTCGATATATCGCCCCGCATATGGTGACTAATGTTGCGTTGTTATCAAGTCAAGATTCATCAAGCATCTCGGCCCCTTACACTCGACATCAACCGAAAGGGTGCCCTGTCGGGTCATCGCAATTTTGCATCCAGCATTAATCAGCAAGCAACCTTGCCCACGTGAACATGTTGCATAACCATCCCCTTACGGTTGAAGTAGAGCGTGTACCAGCCATTTCGAAGCCAATGGCGATGGTTCCATGGAAAGTCAAAGTTGGCCTTGTCATACTTTCTAGCATCACATCGCCGACATCGTATGGCACCCAATTTATAGTATCAAGTGACGACACCGTCCAATCATGGGCCGCGCACAACGTGCAGGGCAAACAAACATGAAATATGTATATCCTTGTGAACAATCAGGAGACCAGAATTCAAGACTCTTAGCATACTTTCATCCTTCCTCATTTGTTTGAGGATCGCTTGTCGCCAAAAGCCCGTTTGATGCCCGTGCTCAGGTTCCCGTCCATCAGCTGATTTTATCTCGCGCGGCACGTTAAACGCCCAAGGAGCACAACGACTGGTTCTGTGGAGCACCAGGGAGACTTTTCCAAGTCACCATTATCCTTTCAAAGGACATTTACATCGTCCAATGGCAAAATTTAGCGCTCTTATTGATGGATTTTGTTGGGCAAGACGTTTCACAAATGAGTTGATTAGGGTCGTGCGGGCTGTCAGCGTCAATACGAAGAGTTTAATATCTGATTTCTCAGCTTTGAGCTTTCACCGTTTGCGCTGAAACCACTACGCTTTGCTTATCCAGCGTGTGACGTTGGGGTTAGACTTTTCCAGGGGCAACGTCGAAAATTCAACACGCCTCAGCCAAATGCCCTAGGATGGACAGCGTGGAATTGTCAACAGTCAGTTGGTCATGGTCTGAAGGGAATAAATGGCCCCAGACAGATATATCAACCGATGGAGTCAACATGCGCTTGATTCAACAATCGAAGGCTTTACAGGATAATTGGGTCCAACAAGATGACTAGTACAACTTTAAACGGTACGGCAATCAGCCGTTGGTTCAAGATCAAGGAGTAAGGCGGCGAGGAGCACGGTGCGGCGATCTGTAAGATTGAGCACCCCGAAATTGTGAAGAAGAATGTTGTGTTGGGAGCATAACTCACGTGTGGGGCCAAGGATTAACATCTGGTGAAGGGATAGTTCTTTTATACCTGGAAACTGTGCCCTTAATTGGCCACAATAGTTGTGATCGCGTTATAAGCGCCACTCGCGCTTAAGAAAGTAGCAGCAAGAACGAAAGCTATGTGCAGGTATAAACACACATGATGTCTAGTCATGGCCAACTCAAGGCAACCGCAAAGCGGAGTCCTCAATGGGTTCTTTGTCATTGGCTTTCGACGGCGTTGTATCAGCTCGCTTTTCAGGGCATGTTGAAGACGGGCTAATTTGAACAAGCTGATAACCTACGACCCACAATTATCAAAGCATGCAAACATGGTCATCCCCTTGCGAGCGGATCATGGGCGATAAGGGGAGGAGTAATCGCGCGGTAGGGAAAGCCATCGGCCGCGACCGTGTAAGACAAAACGTTTTCCTTAGCACGGAATAGCTTGGAAGCCTCGATGCCAGTGACTTTGTCAATTATAGCTGTTTCAGTGTTACATTATAAGATCGCAGAAGTCGAATGCTAAGCTTATCTATTTGATCTGGTTGATGGTTACAGAATGTTATAAAATTGTGCGCACCGTTCTATAAAAATGTGCGCGGGGGACCTTAACCACGCCAATCTCCAAGGTCACGTCGCCGAAGAAATGAGCAGCGGTAGCGGAGGATAAGAAACGATGGCTGCTGCTGTTGGCATGGGGGTCCGTGGTTAGAGTTTCCTATGCTGCAGGCCCAAGAATTTCGATAAGGAATATCTACTCCCAACCATGCAACTCAAATTACACTTCCATTTGATCTTGCTGCTTTGTCCATTTCTATCCTAACAGACACTGTTCACGTCCTTTTGTGCCCCCCCTCAAAATTCACCCCTCACACTTCTTTCCCTCCCAAATTCGGGCTACTCTTCCCCAAAGTTATAGCTCCATTTCCCGAATCTCCTCTTTTCCACATTTTTTTGGTTCGCATCTTCGTATGGCCCACTAAACCATCGACCATTAAAGCTTCCCTCGCCCATCGTTAACCCCCATAGCTTTGTGCCTAATATACTCATTGCGATGTGCCGCAAGTCAACAATTGCTCCAAGAATCCATACACCTGTTATGCCGTGCCCTCAGAACCCATGTACTTATTATGCTGTGCCCTCAGAATCCATTAATTACTTGTGATTGCCCTCAGAAACCCTTGTGATGTGCCCTCAAAATCAATAAACTTTCCATTTCCCATGGACGTCTTCTATCACATTTACCTGCAATGCTGTGCCCCCAGAACACAGATACTCACTTGACCTCAAATCCTTACTTGTCCTCAGATACTCCCTGTACCATGCCCTCGTATCCCGTTGACCCATTCCCTCCGAACCCATTGTGTCATGCCCTTAAAACTAAATGACTCATTATGCCGTCTAGGGTAGGACTTTGGACACACTTTAAGCCAATGTGAACTTGCCATTCATCAGAACGATCTGCAGACTGGTTAATCAGAATGAATGTTCCTTATCGCCCTGGTCACTATCGCGAATCTCTGCCGTTTGCACCAAACTATCGTTAGTACCCCATTTGAAAGAAGACCGTCAGCGGTAGTCGGAACGCTTAAATCGGTCCATGCGGTGAAACATGTCTATGATAGATTGCCATTGACATTGCTGGCTGAGTGAAGTGAAGTACTTACCAATTTGTAGATGCTATCTTTCTGGCGAACAAACGCCTTTTATAGCGAAGCCGGCCCCCTATTATCACTCGTGCATTTCATCCAAGTACGGGATAATTTTCTTGGGTGTTTCAAAGCTCGAATTGATGGTACGATCTTGCTTTTCGCATCCGCTGACTGTGCGGGGCTGTTGTTTCAGAGTGTACGGCTGAGATGCGTCATGTATGACAAATTCGCTTGCCCGCCTTAGGTGAGAATCGTTTTTAGTGCTTTCATCAGTGAAAGAGTTGAGGCATTGGAGTTGATAATCTATAAAAACAGTGATCGCTTCGCCATGAATTGAAGTTCCTAAATCACCTTCCCGTGCGATTACAGCAAACCCCATAGGTGTATATGAACCACCCCCTGCATGTGGTTATTTATAGGCGAAACAAGGTTCCAAACGTGTGGATACGATATACGAGATATTCATATCCAAGTAGTGGCATACCAATAATGGTCATTTCTACGACTCTCAACTGTCAAGCAGAATGTGATATCTTCGTCTATAATCTATTTTCCGTCTATTTACAGGGACTTCTCCGCCGGGTAAGCGCTCAGCTTGTGCTTCGGGGTGAAAGAAAAGTCCTTAGCAGGCCCCAAAAACATCTCCGTCACCTTGATCCAGTCGCGGTAGTCGCCCAGCCCCAAAAGCGTCTCCAACTCATTGCGCCCCTTCCACATCGGCGGGCGGTCGTTGATCTTGATGTCGGCGCGCTCCAAGATCCCCACGGGGACGTAGCGGTGGGTGAACGACATGAACTCACACATAAACCGCCGCGCCTGCGCCACCCCGGGCTCGTCCAGCCCCCAGTGCTCGATGGCGTAGTCGGCGTACGTCTTCAACATCGCCAACCGCTCCAGCGCCAGCTTGTCCAAGTACTGCCCCGCGGCAACTTCCTCAAAGATCCACGGCTTGATCAAGGCGCCGCGCGCCACCATCACCGAGTCGATCCCTTCCTTCAGCGTCTCGCGGTACCAGTCCTCGTGGTTGAAGATATCGCCATTACCGATGAAGAAGGTGTCGGGGAGGTCGCAGCGGTCTTTGTCTTCTTGCTTGCGCACGTTCCACTCCTGGACGGTGCGCCCGACCTCGGCGATATAGTCCCAGTCAGCGTCACGAGTGTAGCGCTGTTGGCGCAGACGCCCGTGCAAGGTGATGGCAGCGACGTCATTCTCTCCCAATACCCGCTCCACCAACTGCTTAGCGGTGTTTTTGCCGTCTTTGGTACCGGTGCGGATCTTGACGGTGACGGGAATATCGCCCAGCGACATGTTCATCGCCTTGAGAAGGCGGCAGAGGCGCGCCGGCTGGTCCATCAACGCCGACCCTTGGCCCTGCTTGTAAAGTAAGTCGATGGGACAGCCACAGTTCAAGTTGAGCTCGCTCACGTGCAGAGTTTCCCGATAGATGGCTTCCGCCGCTTTCGCCGCTGACCAGTGCTTTGCCGCCGCGATCTGGACGCCAAACCCGGGGTATTCCAGCTTGTGGGCTTTGGGCAACGCCCACTCGGGGTTGTGGCCCAGCACCAACGGCACCAGCAACGCCATCTCACAGTAAGTAACGTCGGCGCCCATCAGCTTCATGAGCCGACGATAGGGTAAGTTACCCACGGTGGTAAGCGGCAGCACAATTTTAGCGCCCTTCAAATGGATGCGCTTCTTTTCCGCGGGCCGTGGCGGCTGCTCGACGAACGTCGCCTGGTTTTCCTTGCGCTTTTCGCGATTCTCGTCGTTATTGATGATGGAGTCCATCCACTTGGTGACGTCATCAGAAATCCCCCACTCGTACTTCTTCTTTTGCATGGCGAACTTGTGGTCGTTAGCGATCTTATTGATTTCTCCAGGCTCGTTGATGGTGTCTGACTTGACTAAGTGGCCGTCCTTGTAATGAGAGCCGAGCCAGCGACACTTAAGCCCCAGGGGACAGTATCCAAGCGCTTTGAACACGGGACACACCCCATCGATATCGGGGAGCTTCTCCTTCAAGTAGAGATCGATATCGTGGATGTTCTTGCACTTATCGCCAAACGAGCATTCCTGGAGGTTATCGGGGTCGATCTTGGTCAGACAGAGACGGGCTTCATGGTGGCTTTGCTTGAAGTCACGGTTTTTGTTCTGCCCCCGCTGTTTCTTGCCCTTTTGCGGCTTTGCCGTTTCGTGATGCCCGCCCTTTTCTGCGGCGTCATCGTCGTACGACGCTTGCGGTTTGTCCTGGACAATGAACTCGGCTTTCACCGGCGCATAGCCCTTTTGATAAGTGGTCTCGGCGCTGGATTCGTCCAGGGTACGCTGTCTTTTCGTGGGGGGTTCCGCGTCAGGCATGAAGGCCCTCATCGAGAGATCGCCCTGCTTATCGCGCAGTGTCGCGCGCGGCAAACATCGGTGCAGCAAAATAAGGTAGAGGTTTCCGATACTAAAGCTATTCTGCTACGGCCGACGGTATATGGGGCCATATTTGGTAGCAGTAAACCCACCAGTCAAATCTCTCTAAGTTTTAAGCCTGCCCTCTTCTATATTTGGCCCACCTTAATTAGTTGGTACACGCGAGCATCATTGCCGGTGCGGCTAACCAAACTGGGGAAGGGACAACCAGATGACCCTATCCACGAATGTCCGATGCCCCACTTTATCACTACCAAACCACTCTAAACTAACCTGAAACACCCCACCACAATTATCGCCACCATTCCACGGAGATCACTGTGTTTTGCTCTCCCCTGGCGATGGCGATTTTCCCCGTTCGCGCCAAGTGTTTACTTAAGACCACACCCCCTCCTCGCGCCATGGGCAAGAAGCAAGAGATGTCCCAGGTGTACCACGGGAGCAACAACGAGTTTATCTTTGGCGACCATGGGGGTAAAGGCAAGAACCTCTCGTCGTTCCTCAAAAACTTGCTGCTCACGGGGCTGCTGAAGAAGCACCCCACGGCGCTGACCATCGACGACTCCCACGCCCATATCTACGGGCTGATGAATAAAGGCACCTCTCGCGGTGGTAGCCGGCCTACCGACTCGCTGGTACTTGATTACGCCAGCAAAAGACCCCAGACAAAGCGCACCATGAGCGGGTCGCTGAAAGGGCTGAGGCGGCGTACCAATACGTATACCGATCTTGACGACGACTGGGACGCGGGGATCGAGGACGAACTCACCACCAAGACATCAGCGCCTACGCCCAAGAGTTTGCTGAGGGTGGTGCTGCTGCAGCACGGCTACGTTGACCTGTTTTTCCCCGAGTTGGGGGTGGTGGGTTCCGAGCCGTCCCGGGTGTCCCACGACGACGAAGAGGACGTGTTGGCAAAGCTGGAGATTTCTAAGCTTAACCAGCTCCAGAACAAGTACCTTAAGTTTAAACAGGTGATGACCACCGATAGCAGTGTCGATATCGCTGATTTGCGTAAGCTTTCGTGGAGCGGGATCCCTCCCGAGATGAGGGCGATGCTGTGGCAGTTACTTCTTGGCTACTTACCCACAAACAAAGCTCGCCAGGCGCTGACACTTAAGCGGAAGCGCGACGAGTACGTCGAGGGGTTTAATCTGATCACCGTGGACTTTGACGAGCTGAGCTCGTACCCGCAAATCGGCTCCGAAATCACCAACTTGGCCACCAATAAGGATAAGGCGCTCGACCACCAGATTAAGATCGATGTCAAGCGCACTAACCCAACCCAGAAATTCTACTCGCTGGAGCCGGTGCAGCGGCTGTTGCGCAAGATCCTCTACCTCTGGGCGGTACGCCATCCTGCCAGTGGCTACGTCCAGGGGATCAACGACTTGGCCACCCCCTTTTTCCAGATCTTCGTCATGAACTACGTGTGGCAACTTCAGCGCCAGAAGTTGCGCGAACTGGACCCCCACTTGATGATCCCGGGCCTTTTGGTGGACGACGCTATTGAGCACGAGTTACTCGACCACCCGGACTTGCTCAACCTCACCATCGACACCTTAGACCCGCAACTCCTCAGTCCTAAGGCGCTTGTTATTATTGAGGCCGATACCTACTGGTGTCTTCTGAAGCTCTTGGAGAACATCACCGATAACTATATTCACGAGCAGCCAGGGATCCACCGCCAGGTGAATGATTTACGCAATTTGGTGGCCAAGATCGACGTTGATCTCTTAAACCATTTCGACCGCGAAGGGATCGAGTTCCTCCAGTTTTCGTTCCGGTGGATGAACTGTTTGTTGATGCGGGAGATGCTGATCGACTTGATTATCCGCATGTGGGACACCTACCTTTCGGAACAGCCGTTGGGGTTCAACAACTTCCACGTGTACGTGTGCGCCGCGTTCCTCATCAAGTTTGCCACGCAGCTTAAGCTGATGGACTTTCAGGAGATCATCTTATTTTTGCAGAACCCGCCGACCCAGGGATGGACGGATAAGGACGTCGAGCTCATGCTCTCGGAGGCGTTCATCTGGCAGTCACTCTATAAGAATGCCAGTGCTCACTTGAGGTAGCACTATTCCTGACTCTGCCGCCTGATAAGCGAGCTCCTTACATTGTTTGACTCGGGGTGATGCTCCCCAGAGTGTGCGCGCGCACCGGCGAAAATCAATAGATTGAGCGCTCTGTGACTCAGCATCCCTTACCACACTCCCATTGCGCCCGAATGAGCCTCGACAGAGAACCCCCGAACTACTTTGGCGCCGGCCCCGCGGTGTTGCCGACCACCGTGCTCCAGCAAGCGGCGGTGGACTTGCTCAACTACGCCGACCAGGGCATCGGCATCGGCGAGATCTCGCACCGGAGCAAGCCCGCCATCCAGGTGATCGACGACACCAAGGCGGCGCTCAAGCAGCTCATGGCCATCCCTGACAACTACGAGGTGTTCTTCATGCAGGGCGGTGGCACCACTGGTTTCTCCTCGATCGCCTACAACCTCGCCGGCCATTATGCCACTGAGCACGGCGCCAAGGGGCGCGCCGCTTACGCCGTTACCGGGCTGTGGCTGAAAAAGCTGGCGGAGGAAGCCGCTAGACTTGGGTTGGACGTCGACGTTGTTGTCAACACTAAGGAAGACAAATTCGCCACCATCCCCCCTTATTCGCAGTGGAAGCCGTTGGCTAAGGACACCGCCTACTTGTACGTGTGCGACAACGAGACCGTCAACGGCACCGAGTTCCCCGACGTGCCTCCCGCCGACTATTTGCCTGAAGGCTGTGTGCTTGTCGCTGACACGTCGTCGAACATTCTCCTGAAGAAGGTCGATGTTTCGAAGTACGGCGTGATCATGGCGGGGGCGCAAAAGAACATCGGTTTGGCTGGTTTGACCATCTACATCGTGCGCAAGGACCTTTTGACTTATGACGATGCTAAGGTTAAAGCCGCCGGTTTACCGTTGGTGCCGATTGCGTTCAAGTGGGACACGGTGGTAGCGAACAACAGTGCCTACAACACTATCCCCATCTTCACCTGCCACATCCTCAAGTTGGTGACGGAAAAGCTTATTGCTGAAGGCGGTGTCGAAGCCGTTGAAGCGCGCAACCAGCAAAAAGCCCAGTCGTTGTACCTGGCGCTCGAGGCTTACCCCAACTTCTACAAGTTGCCGGTGGCCGACCCCAAGGTGCGGCTGAAGATGAACGTGGTGTTCACGTTGCCCCTGGCCGAATTAGAGGCGAAGTTCTTGAAGGAAGCCGGTGACCATGGGCTCACGGGGCTTAAGGGCCACCGTAGTGTTGGTGGCATGAGAGCGTCGCTTTACAACGCGGTGACGTTAGATAGTGTCAACAAGTTGGTGGCGTTTGTCACCAAGTTTGCCGAGGAGAACCAGTAAATAATGCATTAATGAACGGTGATAGAGTGAAGTATATTCTTTAATATATTAGTGGAAAGTCTCGGATTCGAACCGGAGCCACTAAAGATGGCTCATAGCTGAACGCGGTTGGTTTGTGTGATTCGGTGGATTTAGCTCAAATCCTGGAAATTGTTATTCGTGATTCCAATGGTTTACTCGAAAGTCATCAATAAAGACTGATACACGATTAGAAACACATACGATAATCAAACGCATAATCAGAGGCTTCATTGTGGGTGTTTTATCGAGTTTATAGAGCGGATGATCTAAAATAAGGCAAAATCGTTGAATTTGACCCCAGTAATTTAACGTAATCTATAATATTTTCCATATCAACGATACACGCAGTTTCAAATCCGACCAGAGCCCATTATGGCCTCTCCTTGAGTCCTCCGTACTCCTGCCCTCTAGGGTTACAACCCTAGTCACGCGCTCATTTTATGTGCACACCGAAAAATTCGATGGCGTGCGACTATATCTACAACGAAAATACATTGAAATTTTTTTCTTCACCAATCTCAGTTATGCCCGGTGTTTCCGTTAGGTATGTGGAACAAATCACTTGTTTCGAGTGACCTCCCAGGAAAGAAGGCTTACTGTTATTACTGTCGTGGTGGATAGCGCTTTGAGGCCCCTCATTGCTAACAACAACTCATTGGTTTTCAGGAGTGGATGATATAACCAACCTTGCCTCCTTCTGAAAGGAAGGTAACATCATCATCCGAAGACAATGGATTATTGTTTGAGCTAAGCGACAGTAGTAACGTAAACCTTTTCTCTTTCTTTTATTCATTCAGCCAACTAACATATCAGAGACGTTCCTGCTCAAGACTTCATCAACGCCTACGCTCTTTTCTTGCAAAGACAAGGTAAGCTCGAAGTGCCCGGCTACGTTGACCTCGTCAAGACCTCGGCCGGTAACGAATTGCCCCCTCAAGAATCGGAATTGTGGTTCTACAAGAGAGCTGCCTCGATCGCCAGACACATCTACTTGAGAAAGCAAGTTGGTGTTGGTGCCCTCAACAAGTTGTACGGTGGTGCCGTCAACAGAGGTTTCCGCCCCCACCGTCACGCCGACGCCTCGGGCTCGATCAACAGAAAGGCCATGCAATCGTTGCAAAAGATCGGTGTCTTGGAATTGTCGCCCAAGGGTGGCAGAAGAATCTCGGAAAACGGTCAAAGAGACTTGGACAGAATTGCTGCCCAAACCCTCGAAGACGACGAGTAAACGTGTGATGTGCTGTAATTATAGAATATTAACTTAATATAAGACTCCATTTCACCAACAGGCTTGATGAAATGACCAGAAATACATATAAATTTGGTCAGCATGTAGGATGGTGGCATCAGCGAGATGGATGCAGTAAGGGTCCTTTTCGAGTTTGTGAATGTCGTTAGGAGCCAAAGAGATTTTGGACGTTTACGACAGTGACGCTTGGAATGGAATTTTGGGATCACTTTGAGATGAGTGTTGGGAGATGGAGGCCTGGTTTGTTGGGCTAGACCCGTTGAAACCTTAGTTTGGGAATTGGGGTGGCTATTACGTAGATTTTTTTCAAATGTAAGTGGAACAAATAAGCCTGGATAAGTGTCCTTACAAAGAAGATTTAGGTGAAAACTATCCAAAAACATAACAAAACGATAAGCATGTTTCTTTCAATTCATTTCTATCAGTCGTTTGGTTACTCCACAGAGGTGAAATTTGATTAAATGTGTAAGAACAGAGATGTCAAATGTAATCGAGATCACTTAAACCATATGTGATAAGAGAGCGCTGATAGGTTTTTTGACTTGTCTTTGGGGTTGCTTATCCCTCTTATAAATTGAACGATGGATATCAAAGCAGAACAATACTAATTACGGCTATCGACAGTTTAGCGTTGATTACCATTCTTGGATGGATTTGGCAACACAGCTAAAAGCTTGAAATTGATTTTGGCGCCAAATGAGGATCATCTAGTTAGAAAGCGATTGCTTGTTCAAAAAAGTGATTACAGGGAAGTCAGATATCGAACAGACTGATGCAATAGAGCATCTCTATGACTATCAATTTGTCGATGTCGCTCGTGTTCGGAGCACTACGTCATTAGGAAAATCTCCGGGGGACGGTTTAGCCCCTTAGTTCGGTCAGGATCCAGTTGAGAGTGTGCTTCCCCACAGGTTAGGGGCGATTGTTCCTAGCAACCTCCCCTGGGCCGAGAAGGAGATGGACTAAAGATTGACACTATAAACTACTACAAAACCATTGAACTCCGACGGTGATTTAGCGGATTTTCATTGGCTGGTGGTGGCAGTGGACGGACGGAGCTTCGGGTATTCTAGTTAGTGGTGATTCGCGTTGAGTCTCCACATATGCGACGAAATAGGCAGGTCCGACGGTCCGATGCAGGACTGGGCAACCACAACCCTTATCGCACCACGAGACCCTCGGTCATTGGCCGTACTCCGAGTGAGCCCCACCACCCGAAATCACCGGCTAACATTCCTACAACAATTTTCAGTTTGTCATATGTGTGTATTCGTTACAAAGAGTAAAACCAGTTTACTCCTTGTTTCATCGTAAACTATGTAAAGTTTCAAGTGTCATAAATGCGTTTAGTGCTTGTGAGACGGGCCAGCCGTTTCCACATCGCCGTTCAGCGACACCGAGGGCACAAACACGTCCTCAGACGACTCCTCCGGAGTCAGGGCATTCACTGGTTGTTGGTAGAAATCAACACAGATTTGCCGCGACGAGAACTGGGCAATGGCGTTGACCTTAACAGGCACCCGCGTGATGGGAACCCAGTGTCGCAGGGCGGTTTGGAAATTCTTGACGTTAAACACACGAGGAACCACCATCACGATTTGTAGATTCAGTGAACGGGATTGACAAGCGGAGGGGCAGTGATATTTATGTCAAAACGGTAGTCCCGGGGTAAAGGTGATTTCCTTGTGTCCGAGCAGTGGCTTCACCTGCTTGTGTGCACGACTTTTTCAACATACCTGTGATAAGGCACAAATCGGTAATAGTGACGTCACGGTACGCCAGTGACTCAATGGTTGACATGGGCACGAGACAATAGTCACAATCCGCAAACGACACCGTCTCCGCTTTTTTCAAGGGTAGCTGTGGACAACCACGGTAGCAACGCACTACCGTAACCGGTAACTCCTTTCCCCCCTCCCTCCCCCCTTCTCTCAACTATAGTGTGGAGTTTTTGTGACATGTGATTATGATCACGTGCACCAGGCATGGCCGTGTGATCCAGAGACAAATGTGAGCTGATAACCCCGAGGTGTCAGCCGCGTCATTACCGCAACCCTGGGGCAGTGATTGTAGCACCTGATAAAGGTCTAGACTATAGTGGCGGTAAGATTTACTAGGAAAGGAGGGGAGAGGATCAGGGTAAAATACATCACGTGACTTGGTCAGGGGATGTCGTCGGTAGCCCCGGCAAGCAACCGCATGAGGCAACCGCCGGGGCGAGCATGTTTCCCAGGTCGTGTAGGGAACGGGGCCGCTTGCCTACGGCCGAGCGGAACTTCCCATTTTCTACCTTGTGACCTTTAACCCCATAACACCTTACAGCGACTCCGAGCCCGTAGCTGCCGCTTATCCCAAAACTACGCTTTTAGTAGGACCCTGACATTTACCTACGTCCCCTACGTCCCCTAAGTTCCCCTAAGTTCCCCCTGAGCTACGTGTCTCAGCTCTGCCACTCATCCCCACCGCTCCCACAGAATGGACTGGACTCTTCTTTGTCTAGACTACCACATGCGCGCCGGTACCGGCGACTACAAGCTAGTACCAATTTCTATACAACGAAAACAGCCAACCAAAACCAGAATTTAATAAATTATAATGAAACAAAGCCAGTAACCAATCAATAAAAGAAATTGCTTGCTTGTCGCTTGCTTGTCAAAGCGGAATCGTCAATAGTCGGTGCTGATGTACTCCGGCCGGTTATCCTCGGGTTGGCGTCGGCTCCGGTCGCCCCACACTTAGTAGTCTACGGAGCCCTCTCACTATAGAAAAGACGTTCGCAGGGTATTCGTCACTATATGCAGTACCCGAACCCCCAACAATCAACCGCCTACGCACCCATTTTCGCACCACCCTCCTAGCTACCTCGACGTACCCCCCCCCAATTCCCCCGCTATCCTGGCCTCATTCCCACCGTTTTACCCACTTAACTAAACGCCTATTGTGATTGGATGACCGGGTTCGCCATCACGCCAGCGTTGCGCGAGGCGATCTACCGCTACGCCCTGTTCAAGCAGACGCCGGTGCTGCTCCGCCAGATGGTCCAGTTCGGGCCCAACCCGCTGCCGGGGCTGATCTTTTTGGCGCTGCAGTTCATCTGTGAGGAATTGCCCATCCGCTTAGCCAAGAAAGTCAAGGACCTCGAGCTGGCGCCGTTCGGGCTCAACGAAATGCCGCTGACGCTAAAAGTCCGCGACTGGTACGCCCAGCTGTTTGCCGAGTTGACCTCGGTACCGCAACCGAAAGTGCTGGAGGAGTTGGCGAAGTTGCTCCTGCTGGGGGACACGACGGAGCCGATACCGCCGCCGGAAGAGGCGACTACCCCGCAAGAGGTAGTCGACGACATGCCCCCCTACGCCGACGACGGCATTGTCCTTAAACGCCACCACCCGTCGCGTAGTGGCTCGGGTATTGACGACGAGCTGAGCCCCACGTACGGCTTGAAGTACTATACTCCCTGTCCCGCCAATATCGTGTGGCCTAAGGAAGTATACGACTACAATAAGCAAGTGAACGACGCCCTCACCAAGATTAAGAAGCGCCACGACGCGACCGTGGCCACCATGGCTCAGGGAGTCCAGGAATGGAAACAGAAAAACCTGAAAGTGCTTGTCAATTCGCAGATCCAGGCGTTCCTCGATAAGTTCTACTTGCTGCGTATTGGTATTCGCATGCTTATCGGCCAGCACATTGCCCTCAACATGGCCCAGGCGCTGCCTACACGCCAGCGGATCCTGCTGTTCTTCAACGGCGCCGGCGGTGGTAAAGGCAAACTGAACTACGTCGGTGTCATCTGTACCGACTGTAACGTCGCCGATATCTGCCAGGACGCCATCGAGACGGCGCTGTATATCTGCGAGGACTTCTACGGCTTGATTGAAGGTCCCGAGATCCAGTTGATCACGCTGCTGGAGGATATCCTGTTCATGTACGTACCCGGCCACTTGATCCACATGTTGTTTGAGACGCTCAAGAACTCGTTGCGAGCGACGATCGAGTTCCACACCCCGCGATTGAAGCAGAAGATGGTCGAGGAGAACCCTAAGCTCCAGTTGAAGGACATCGACATCAACGACCTCAAATATCCCCCGATAAAAGTGATCATCTCCGAAGGGCTGGAGGATATCGCGATTAAAATTAGCGACGAAGGCGGCGGGATCGCCCTGCTGCAGGTTCCCCTCATCTGGACGTACTTGTACACCACGGTGAACGAGACGCCGCTGCTTGAGTCGGACGAAAACTCGCTGTCGTTTAAAGCGCCGATGGCGGGGTTCGGGTACGGGTTGCCCATTCTGCGGCTCTACGCCCAGTACTTTGGCGGTGATCTCAAGCTCATCCTGATGGAGGGCTACGGCACCGACGTCTACTTGCACTTGAACCGGTTGTCAAGCTCGCTGGAACCGTTGCCATAGGAATACACAAGACTCAAGGAGTCACGCTTCTATTAAAAACAAGAATACCGCTTACTACTACCACCAACACGTGGTTAAAATAATCAGTTCAATTGTAGAATAAACCCCTAATCAAACTAAACCATTGCTACGAGAATTTGATTGAATCCTCACCACATTGCATTGAGCTCAAATGAACTGATTGAGTTGTAATTGATGAAAGTTAGAAGCTAGAATTCTGACGTGCTACTTATACTTCAATTCTATTCTCATGGAATTGTTGTTTTGGAACCTTCCTGGCTGGCCTTCTAAAATCACTAGATATCTAGCCTCAATTTAGTCAAACTCATTTCAACTTCCAAATCCTTATTACTCCCACCACGTTTCACTTTACTCCAATTTGTTTAACTTTTCAAATTCTCCATACTTTTCTCATACTCGCCTCTTTTTTCCGCCAGTGAGGGTCATGTCATTTTCAGCGACTACCATTTCACAATTAGTGGCTAATGGCTGAGGGGTTACTCTATCATGTGAAAATCCCATTACTCATCGCCTACTGCACAATCATCCAACCCCATGTTACTCTCCTTTGGCTTCAATGACCAAAGATACCCCATAAAACACCACCACGTCTCTACGCCGTAGTTCATTACCCCTTTCTGTCATTGCTTTTGTTGATGATCGCTCGACATCCGCGGCTTTGAACGCCCGCCCCCCACACTAATCGCTATGACGATGACTACGAGCACCGCGGCCACGTGACCTACCCCAGCCGCAACCGACAGGAGAAAAAACCCACCCACAGCTTTTTTACACCACACACCCTCCCCCATTTTACACTACGATGTCGGCTCCGCGAGCAAAACCTTGGGAGGCCGGCGATCTGGGCGCGGCAGCAGCGTCCGCAGCGACGGCGCTGACGGCGCTGGCGGCGCCGCTGGCGGCGGCGACGGTACCCGAGCGCCCGGCGGCGCTCACGTCTGATTTCAATACCGCCGGCACCACCGTCAACAGCTACGGCACCGGCGCCACCGGCTACGGCTCCCAGTACGGCATGGGCGGCTACGGGCTGTCCTACGGAGGCCTCGGCCTGTCCTACGGCGGCTACGGCCTGGGGATGTATGGCCTGGGGATGTACGGCGGCGGCTACAACCGCTACGGCCTGATGTACGGCCTGGGCATGTACGGAGGCTACGGGCTGGGGATGTACGGCAGCGGCATGTACGGCGCCGGTATGGGCGGCATGCAAGGCCCCGGCGGGTTTGGCGAAGGCACCCAGGCGACGTTCCAGCTCATCGAAGGCATCATCGGCGCCGTCGGCGGCTTCGCCCAGATGCTTGAAGCCACCTACATGGCGACCCACTCGTCGTTCTTTACGATGGTGTCGCTCGCCGAGCAGTTCGGCAACTTGAAGAACGCGTTGGGGCTGATACTCGGCATCTACGCCTTGATCCGGTTCATCAAGAAGATCTGGGCCAAATTGACGGGGCTGAACTATGGCATCAACGCGCTGGAGTTTGCCAAATTCCAGCAGAAGCAGAAGAAGCTTGAGGCCGCTGCCGCCAAGTCCGGCGGCGTCGGCGGCGCCCCTAAGCGCCGCATGTCGTTCAAGCCCCTTCTCCTTTTCCTCGCGGCGCTGATCGGGTTCCCTTACTTGCTCTCGAAGGCGATTCAGAAGATCAACGAGCGCCAGGCGCAGAAGCAGCAGATGATGGGCATGGGCCCCAACGGCGCCCCCTTCGACCCCAACAACTTGCAGTTCGCCAAGGCGCTCTACGAGTTCAACCCGGAAAACCCTCAGATGGAGATCGAATTGAAGCCGCAAGAGCTCGTGGCCATCTTGTCTACAAAGGACCCCATGGGCAACGACTCCCAGTGGTGGAAGGTGCGCCTGCGGCTGGGCAAGGTCGGCTACGTGCCGCTGAACTTCTTGCAAGTGATCGAGCGCAAGAAGGCGCCGGCAGCGTTGGCACCGGCGCCGGCTCCGTCAGCGCCTGAGCAACCCGCCGCCGCTGAGCCTGTCGACGAAAAGCTCAAGCCGTAAGCTGGAGAGTTATAGTCATGTAGTTACGTTAATGTCATATAAACGAGTCACGAATAAGCCTACTTTTTGAGCATATATCCTAATTTTCTAAACTGATTGTGCTTCTTGATTAACCAATTGTAACGATCTAGTTGATCGTACAATCTCCGAAATGTAACGACCGATCATATAATCTCATGATCAATTGCTGTTACCACCAATTGTACTCACTCGTTGGAACTATTACTTTAGCTGGTGTTTCTGATCAATCGTGTATTCATAGGGATTTTTCATCGTGGTATGTTATGATAACATCGCACTTAGCTTTCCTATTCCTTCCATATAAGTTGGTACGAGGGAATCTAACAAGATGAAAGAACACATTCAGGAAAGTACAGAAAGTAGAGCGTGGAAAGTTAACAGACCATGAAATGCTTAAAATGAAAAGTTCGAAAGTTGCTTATGTGGTTACATTAGATGTCATATAAAGAGAGTAACTAATTACTTCTTGCTGCTGCCGCCGGTGAGCCACGCCCAGAACCCCTTCTTGTTGGCCTCGTCGATGGGCTCAAGCACGTTCTCATCAACAACCTCGCCGGCCTTCTTGTTGACATACTTGGCACCCTCTGCCACTTGGTCAGCGCCTTGAGCCGCCTTCTGCTTCAACTCTCCCGCCTTCTTGTTAGCTTGTTCGATGGGTTCAAGGACGGTATCGTCGACGACTTCACCCGCCTTCTTGTTGACGTATTTGGCACCTTCAGCCACATTCTCCTTCAATTGCTCGGCAGTCGACTTAGCGTTTTCAGCGGCATCAGCGGCCTTGGCCTTCGTCTGTTCCCAGGTGGCTTCGGCGTGGTCCTTGGCTTCGTTCTTGGCCCGGTGAAAATCTCTTTCAGCTTCACCCGCCTTTTGCTGGAACGCTTGCTTAGCGTTCTGGGCGTTTTGCTGTAAGTTCTCCTTGGTCTCCTGCGCCGCCTCGTTCCAATCCTTGCCCAATTGGTGCGCCGCCCGCTTAGCGTCGCTCAAGTTTTCGGTGGTCCTGTCCTTCCACTGCTCCTTCTGCTTCTCAATGGCGTCGATATCGCCAGCAAGACGGTCACCCGCCTTGCGGTTAGCTTCTTCAAACAGCGCCTCGGCGCGGTCCTTCTTCGCCTCCCACTCTTCGTGTAAAGCTCTCTTCTTTGTCTGAACCGCCTCAAGCTCGTCAGCAATGCGGTTGCCTTCCTTTATGTTGGCCTCGTCGAAATCGTCGGCGGCCAGCTCCAAGTCTTGCCGGGCTTTCTGCTGAGCAATCTCAAGCCGGTGCTCGGCCTTGTCGAGGTCACGGGCGTACTTCTTAGTCTCTTCGTTGGCCTTGTCCAATTCCTGCTGGATGGTCGATTTAAACGCTACCGGTTGGATTCTGGCGACGGAGCCCGACACACGGGCCGCCTGGCGGGCGTGGCGAAGGGCAATTGAACGCAACATTTTCGGTGGTTGTGTGGTAGGGGTAGAGGTGTGGCGGCTACGGCTGGGTTAAGTGAGGTTTTTATGGGCCTGGCGAGTGTCGTAGCAATAATTGCTATCTTGCACACCTGCGCCTTAACCTGTGGGTGGATGATTCGGAACCCGCGAACTAACTGAACCAGCGGAATCGAGCCACTAGCAGTGGTTTCAGTAGCAATTGACTCGATTCGTAACGTTGGTTTCGTCATTATTGGCGCCGTCAATGATTTAATTTGTGGGTGTTATGAGCGATTCTTCCGATGAATCCTTGATAGCCCCTCGAACGTGATTGAACCATTACCATAATTAGCCGCTGCAAATAGGTCTCGCCGAGGGCTCCGGAGAACCGAATGCGGACGCCGTGGATGTAGGGGTACGTTTATCCAGTGCCATGACGTAAATGGCGGCAACTGCTACGCTATGGCGATCAAATCGCATTTGAGGGTTAGGGGGGATGGAGACTATGACGTCATAAAAACGAACATTTATTCTAGTTTACTTTTCATTATTCCTGGAGCCAGTCCAACTCGTCACTTACTTCGATTCGGCCAACCCGACGGCGTCCTTCTTCAAGTCGTAGATCGAGTAGTATCTTCTCAAGAAGGCGTCACCGACGATCGCCAAGTCGCCAATGGGCTTGGGGAAGTCCATCGGGGTGAACACCGAGATGCACGACCCCGACACCTCCAAGGTGTAGTCGTAGGGAGTCAAGGTGAAGTTGTAGCCGGCAAAGTTGAAGGTGAAGTCGGGCAACGAGTCACGCGAGTTGCAGTCGACGGTGTACTGGCCACTCCAGTTCTTCTCGGCGCCGATCTTGGCGTTGACAATCTCGGCAAGCGACAGGGGCAACGTGATCAACGAGGTACCGGTGTCAATGGCGGCGCCGGTGTCGTACAACTCAGCGTACTCGTCGCCAAGGCCAAGCCCTTCAAACGACACTTCCCAGTACGCCTTTCTCCGCACGGGCAACCAGGTGACCTTGCCCTTGGTCAACAGCTCGTCGTAGCCGCCGAAAGTGGCCAACCCGCCGTCCTGTTCGTCCTTCTTGGTGTCGCCCAAGTAGAAGCCAAATTGGGGCTTGTCAAGCAACCCGTTGTTGATGGCGTTGTACACGGGGGGCACAATCTGGTTGACGGAGATGGTGTCGTAGGCCAACCCCAAGATACCGTCAAACTTACCGAAGGCGAACGCCAACCCCGGTTCGGAAGTAGCCTCGGCAAAGTCCTGCTTAGGGATGACCAAGTCGCCAATGGCCAACGTGTCTTGCGACACGTACCCTTCCATGGCCCCCGAGCCGTACTGGATCTTGAACTCGGTGCCGTTGGCCTTGTACGACGACGACTCGTCGTGGTCGTACTTCGAGTGCAAGAAGCACGCCAACAGCGAGCAGTCCTTCGAGGGCACCCACAAGTTCGACGACCCGGTGTCCAAGATCACCTTGAACGACTGGGGCGGCGTGCCAAGGGTGATTTCGGTGAAGTATTGCGCGTTCAAGTAGTTGGTGAGAGGAGCGTCGTGGATACCGTCCTTAGCCGGGGCCACCACCCCGGGGACTTCGGCAGCAAACGGCACCTGGTCCCGCTTGGGGATAACGTCGCCGAAATTGTACAAGTTCAAGTACTTTTGCGCCAATCCTTCGGTGTATTCCGAGAACTGTTGGGGCGCCAACACTTCTTCGGCGGGCAACTTGTTCAACTTGGCCGAGAACGTTTTGGCATCGGTGACGCCGACGAGGGCAGCGGCAATGCCGGCGAGAATCGACAACTTCATGGGGGGATTAAAGCTGAGGGGGAGAGGGTATGGGGATGGCAAGCGGGTGGCGTTGTGCGCCTTATATATGGCGCCTGCATATAGTGGCGAACCAGCGACAAGCACAGGCCTGATAGCAAGTGACCCCGCCAAGACCAGCGGCGACTACACAGCCATTTTAGTGGTGGTATTGGTTTATTTACATCATCTCAGTCCTTTGGTAGTTAAGTGTTATCCGTTGGCAGGTGGTGTTGGGTAGGCTGAGACATTGTGCTTGCAATTGCGTTATCGGAGACGGCCTAGTACGCACCGGCTGCGGGGCCCGAGGGGGTGTTTATAACTAGCCAATAATGACGAATTGGGTCCACTGCTACTACTGTACGCTATACTAACATCGACACAAGCGTATGTTTTGTCTCTGGTTGCCGCTGTGGGGGCGATGAGGGGTGGGGCCTATGGTTGCTCCTATGTCATGCTAATTAGTCTATGCACACACTTTATCGAGGCGTCGCGCCGGCAGCCGATAACACACTGACGGTTATCATTAGCGATCAAGGCAAACGCTGACCATTAATGGTCGATAAATTATCATGGCATTGCTACTAAACCACAACTAAAGTTGGCCTGTTAACAAAGCAGTCTTCACTTTAAAGTTTCGGAGTTACCGGGAGGATATATCCGAGCCTCGGTCCCTGGCCATCGCAGCAGCTATCAAGGCGCACCACCAATACCTGTGCCCCTACTAAACCATGGTGGTGTCCCAGTTCGTCAAACTGGTCGTCGACACCCAGTTCAGCGAACACCCCATCCACTTTGTCCACCAGCAGAACGGCTCCGTCCACACGATGGAGCTGATCTTGCGCCTGCTGGTCCCCGACATGACCGCGGGGCTGCTGTTCTTCGTCAACCCGTTGTTGCTGCTGGGCCACACTCAGACGGCCTATACCGGTCTCCAGAAGTTTGACCATGTTGATCACGTGTGGTATAAGCGGCGCATCTTGACTATCGCCAGCGATAAGAAGTTTTATGAGGTAGACGGCGACAAGTTGGCCTACGACAAGTGGCACGGCCACCTGACGATCGCCGTTGACTACGTCGTCCCCGAGTCGGCTCTGGACGCCAACCACCTCGAGTTCAAGCCCGAGTCCCAAGTGTACGACTTGCCGCCGCGTACCGAGTACTTGGACCCGGCCAAGGAACAAGAATTGCTCGATAGCGATAAGCCGCTTGTGATTGCGTTACACGGGTTGCTGGGCGGCTCCTACGAGCTGTATATTCGTGCTTTCCTCCACGAGATCACCCAGGAACCGTATAACTTTGATGCCCTTGTGATCAACGCCCGTGGGTGCGCTAACCACACTATCACCAGTCCCCAGCTTTTCAACGGGTTATGGACCAACGACTTGCGCTACTTGATCAACGAACACATCAAGGAAAAGTGGCCCCACAAGAGGGTGTACATGATTGGGTTCTCGCTTGGCGGGGCGATTCTAGCCAACTACTTGGGCCAAGAACTGGACCGGGTGTGGCCTAATATTAAAGCGGCGGCAATCATGGGTACCCCCTGGGACTTCCCTGACTCCAGTGTCAACTTGAAACAGCTGGTCATTGGGTATAACGTCTACTCGCCGACCATGTGCTCGAACTTATTGCGCTTATTGAGCATCCACGGCACGATGATTGAGATGGACGAAGACTCTAAAAAGCAATTGGAAGTGCTCAAGACCAAGGAACCCAAGAAACTTAAGCAGTTCGATAACTTCTTCACCCTGAGATTGTTTGGTTTCAACTCGGCTGATGAGTACTACCGCCACGCCTCTCCTAACCAAAGACTCCTCAAAGTGAGAGTGCCCACCGTGATTGTGCTGCTGTTAGACGACCCCATCACTGGCTACCGCACGTTACCCCGTTCTGAAGTGAAGTTAAACCCCTACGTGCTGCTTGTCACTACTACTATTGGCGGCCACCTCGGGTGGTTCCAGCTTAACGGGCGGCGGTGGTACCCGTCGCGCATCCTGAAGTTGTTCACGGAGTTGGACCAGTATAAGGTCGACACAGACGACACCCCCGAGTTGCCTCGCGACGTGTCCAAGGTGTGGAAACACGACCAGCTCGCGTTTGAGTTTAACGAACAGCTCTAGGCGTAACTCTATAACCATCTACACGTCATCCAATGCATATAAGTAACCCCACTGTATATAGATAAAACTACTTATAAAACAGCATTGATTTGAGTCAATTCTCAACTGCAAATCCAATTATTTACTATACCAGTTAGTGGTCTATGATATCAGAGTTTATTGGTGCAATGTAGTTCTATTGTCCTGTCTAGTAAATGCAATCAGAGGGTGGTGTCGACCTCGTCGTCGGTAAACACGTTCAAGGGGATATCCTTGGCCTCGGGGTCGTCGACCACGGCGTCGGCGGCCTTGTGGCGAAGCACCACCACCGCCATGCCGATGATGAGCGAGATGCCGAGCATCAGCAAGAGCCCCGGCAAGTGGTGCCACAACACCGCGTCCAATATAAGGGCAAACACCATATTGCTATAGCTCATCATCAGCGCTCGCCCCGCTCTCACTCGCTGGACCCCCAGGGCCAAGCAGAACTGCATGATAAAACCCAGAAAGCCAATGAGCATAAAGAGGAACCACTGGTACCCCAGCTCGGGCAAACGGAACGAGTACGCCGGCACCACCACGATGGCAATACACAGCACCACGCACGTCATCAACGAGAAGTACAGCACTGAAAGAAGCGGGTGGGCTTGCATGCCGATCTTACGCAAGATCACGTACACCGTCAGCGCTCCCATCACTCCCAAAAGGCCGACGCTGGTGGCGAGAAGGCGTAGCGACGAGCTCAGCAGCTCGACGGAGTCGTCTTCGGGATTTTCCGAAGTGTCGCCAGCCTCATCCTCGGTGGTGCCAAAGATAAATGCTGGCTTAGCGATAAGCACCACTCCGAAAAAGGAGACGAGGGCACACCCGGCTTCTGTCCACAGGTAGCGCTCGTGGATCAACACCCACGCCAAGAGCCCCGTAACCATGGGCACAAGAAACGTAATGGCGACGGCATCGCTAATACTAAGGTATTGCAAACTGTAGTAGAGGCCAAACACGCCAAAAAACCCAAAGAACCCCCGCGCAAGCAACAACTTGCGGAGGTTGGCCGGGCCAAACGGGTACTCGGCGACACACTTAGTGACCCCCATGTAGACGAGACAGCACACGTAGGTAATGAACATGCGGGCAAACAAGATCTGGAACGGGTTGAACGTCTGGACGGCGTCGGGGTCGGTCTCTAGGAGCTTGCACGTCGCGATCATCACCGCGTTGAACACCTGGGCGAGCACGAGGATCGCCTCGCCGGTGTTGGCGGCAACGTAGTCCTGGTACCATGGTTGGGCGTGGAGCCAGGCAAGCATGTAGATGTAGGGGAGTAGTTGGTGAGGGGGGATTATCGGAATGGAGATGGCCCCGGTATAGGGCAGCTACTGCGATCGGCGCTATGTGCAGGGAGATTATGTGCGCCATATAAATCGAAGACGGGGACGGCGTCGATGGGTGCGGGGCGCAGTCAAGCGTTAGCGCCAAGAAATCAGACGTCACCACCACGTCAGATTAAGCGACTCCTAACGGTCCTCTCAATTACTAGTAAAAGCCATGGTAGGTTTGTTGCTGGCGGCGAGATAGCGGCGCGGTTGATTAGTCAGGGTGAGGGCTCATGTGAGGGAATTCGGCGGAGTCGCTAGACGGCACATAGCCGGCGATCGCCGAACCCCCGGTAAGGGGGAGTTACAAAGTTAATGTAGGGGAGGTAAGCGACGGAGGTAATTTAAGTAATTGAAGTTATAGGGCTTCTAGCCATTAACCCATTCAAATGGATTTTTTCTTGCTTTTTTTTTTTTCACTGTGGAGCCACAGGTTTTGCGGAAGTTAAACAACGACAGGCACCGCGTCTCAGACACAGGCGGGTAGGTGCAATGGTAGAGAGTATACGCCTATGTTTGAAGGAGGGTTTTAAGGTTAATGGTTACTAGTTGTAGTCTGGTTTAAAAAAGTTGACTCCGCTCTTGCTATATTGAATTTGTGGCATTTGAGACGGAGTGGGTGTAGCCAGCACTAGATGGGACTGTTAATCTCTTTGACAACAAATGATACATATGACTGTACTGGTTGTCAATTGGTGATCTTTGATTGTAATTATGCCAGCTACTATTTGTATGAAAGACTAATTCGTCCACATCCTGTGTATTCATCTATCATTATTCATTAATCTATATAAGTGGAGGGGATGAACCCCATGCGGCCGTTTTTGCGGGCAAGCAACCAGTTCCCTTGAGTCAGATACGTAGACGCCACCAGCTGTAAGTCCAATACCACGTCAAGCACATCCCCTTGAGCAAACGAGAGGTCACCGGGGTGAGTACCTTTAAACGTGTGGAGCGCCGTTCTCGGCTGACCTTCCACTTCAGCGTATTGTTCAAATAAAAGCTGGAGACGGGTAAGCTTAAACGCTCCGTTAACGTCAGCAACTGGGCGGTACTGGATCGCCAGTGCCGTCGAGTATTCGGGGATGGGACACTGGGTGATCTCGTTCTTGTGGGTGTTGTAGACATCGGCTAACCGGCGGTTAATTTGGTCCGCTCCCAGCGTCTTCACCACGTCGTCCAGGGCAAGCGACAGCGCCACCAGCAGCACCTCCAGGGCGTTGTCGTCGGCCAGCAGCGCCACCGACTCGAGCGACAGCGCCAGGTCGGTACGGCGAGGCGCTGGCGGTTTGGGCAAGGGAGTAGCGTCTTTCGCCGCCAACGAAGGCACCGTCTGCGTCAGCGGTCTGGGAGGAAGCGCCGGCGGCACTGGCGGGAGCGGCCGGTTAGTGCGTGGTGGGAGAGGTGGAGGAACGTCGGATGTAGGCAGCGGCAGCGGTGAAAGCTCGACATCGACAATACTTCCCTGGTGAGGGCGATCGACGACTTTCGAAGGGAAATACGTCAGCAGCCGGTTGGTGGTGGCGTCGTTATACTCGACGAACAGTTCCAAGGGGTCTGCCTCCAATTCGTCGTTGAATATGCCGTCGGCAGGGTGGAACGTCCATGGCCGCTTTAACAGTTTGGTGACATTATTAAGCCAGTGCACGGCCTTAGGGTCCAGCGCTTTGTCCAGGACATCGTCGGTAGGATTAACGATGGTCTCAATCTCGTCTTTGGCCACAGTGAACTGGCGGTGCCAGTCGTCAATAATCTGTTCATACAGAGGCACCAGAGCGTCGTCATTACCAAGGCCGTAGTGGACGGCAAACACCGCCAATTCGTCGCGGACCTGAGTGATCAGCCACACGTGCTGGTAGATGATCCGCTTAGTGATTTCGTCGGTGAAATCGTCAAGCAATTCCACCAATTGAGGCATGGTAAGCTTAAACCGTTGATTCACAGCGGTAAACTCGGCGAGCGCCTGTTCCATACGCAGCGTGAGTTCCAGTAGTTGAAGCTTCTGCTTATCGTCAAGGTCCCCTTGTTGCTTACCGAGCTTATCGATGCGCCGTCTCACCTTATCGTACTGGAGCCGCTTACGGTGCCACACTTTGGCCAATTGCCTCGCGCGCTTGACGTAGGTGCCAATCACCTCGTCAATACGCCCCAGCAACGCCGAGTAAGCGGTGCTCCACTCGTCGTCGACAAGCATCGCCAACTTTTCGATGGTGGTCTCGTAGGCGTGGTGTTCGTCGTTCACCGCGGCAATAACGTCGAAATTCTGGTGGGGGTCAAGCTGCGGCACCACCTCGTACGCCTGCTGCTCGTCCCACATGGCGTAGTACTCATCAATGCCCTTAAATTGAATATCGGCGACCAAGTTGTGGAACCCGCGCGCCACCCGTAAGTTGACCTTGAACAACTGGGGCCAGTAGCGGGCCAGCAAGTTTTTGAGCAAGCGCTTTGAGTATTTGAGCCCCGCCACATACTGCTTCAACACCCGCTGGTAGCGCTGGACCAACTTCTCGTCGTCTTCAAACTCGGAGTCGTGCGGGTGGAGGATGTGGTCGGTGACCAATTGCGCCTGGTCCCGGGCGTCGATGAACCCGTGCTTCACCTCGCCGCCGACCTTCTCGACGCCGCCCTTCACCGTCGCCCCAAACTTCTTCAAATTATCCATGCCCGATCAGTGTTAGCGAAGGCGCTCCGGTGGTGTCAGGGGGTAATTGGCGGCGACGGACACTTGGGTCATGGTGGTCGGTCACGGGGGAGAGTGCGCGCGCCCGCCAGCGGCGGCGGCGGCCAGGCGCCGCTCGGAGATATTACCCGGAGAAGTGCGGCGACGATCCGCTCTTAATGTTAGAGGGCCAGGGCCCCGTAACGGCGAGCTCTAGGCAAACGTAACGGGCACCCACCCTTGCTATGGGCCCAGGCTTCGCTGGAATGAGGGGCACAATGATGTCATCCCAGGGCAATCGAAACAGCATATAAGGCGACCGTTCCCATCTCGTAGTTTTTCAGCTAGTAACCAATATGCCCCAGACCGTGTTTTACAAGGGCAAGGACCAGGACTTCAGCGTCATCATCGAGAACAAAGCCGCCGTGGAGAAGTTCCGCAAGGGCGACCACTCGCTTCCCTTGATCGACATCGTCGGCATCTACAAGGTGTTTGTCTCCCAGCGAGGCACCGAGGCTTCTGACGACGAGGCGCTGAAGCAGGACTTAGAGAACGAGTTTGGTACTCTGAACCGCGACGAGGTGATCAAGAAGATCTTGACCGAGGGCGAGTTCAACACCCTCAAGCCCTGAGCGCGCGCCGCCGCTGATCATAACAATCAATGGCTCTGGTGGTGTATACCGTGCTCCGCCGAGCGGTGTGGTGGTACGTGGCGTCGGTGTTTGCCTACTACTGGGTGCTTGTGCTCTCGCTCGAGGAGAGCGTCCCCTTCGCCCGGTGTGTGCCCTGGGTGGTTGTGGGCGACGTGGTGGCATCGGCCGTGCTTAGTTAGTGCTCGAATATAATACATGACGTCAATTGCTCCCGCCGTAGCCGTGATCAGACAATATAGCAACCAAGACTATGGTGTGTCTTAGTCGCGATGCCCCCCCCCCTCAATTGGGCACCGTAAACACCCCAATTGAATGAAATTCATCCGATTTCGATTCAAATTTCATTCAATTGATGTTCTATTGACCTTGGTAGTGGTCAGTTAGTAGTTGTTTTACACGGATGCCACACTGGCGGAGAACAGTGGCGGTTAGACTTTTGTGATGCATGACGTGTACCACCACCTACTGTAAACTGTAAGCGTAAGCCAAATTACACTTTTGCCAAGCTCAGGAGCTACCAAATCGAACCCAACGCCGGTAGCAGGGATTGCGTAGGGGGGCTTTTTGTGGCGCCACTTCTATATTAGCCCGGGTGACGTAACCTATTGGTAGCCCCCACCAATTTACGACAGATCTCCCATTCGCCTAAACCTTATCCATGGAAACGTACTTAAGATTAGGATTAAGTTACGTGGCGAAAATAAATTCAGGTTTGTGTGTGGTATGATACATTTGGGCCTTCGCTTTTGTTGCTCTCATGAACCTTACGGCGAAACGCACAATGAGACAGATGGCTCCGAATTTGGCATGATGGTTCACGTGAGGCTACGTAAACATTTGCCAGCCATTTGCTGATGTCGACTACGTTAATTGTTGAATGGTACAGCCTCTACACAAACTACACTCTTCAGCAATAAATCTTCTAGATTCAAAAGCAAGTACGGTGTCGTCGCAACCGACAATATCAAGATAAATGGTCTTCTACAAAAGAAACCTCAAGACTTCTACTACACATTTACTGGACCCTTTATCATTTCACTTTTGCGTACGTTTATTATCATTACATTACCCGCCGTGGTGCGAGCGTACAATTCTTGGGTGCCAGGTTTACAAGTACCCCGACAGCAGTTCCAACACCTTCATCAGCCGCTTCGAGTCGAAGAACAACACCTCGGCCTCGTCGACGTCGTCAACATCAATCTGCTGGCGTCCAGCGGTCTCGGCCAACACCCCTGCGGGAGCCAATAATTGGAGGCCGTACCGCAACAGCACCTTGGTGCCGGCGTCGGCAAGCTTGGCCAACGCCGCGTCGGACACCGCCACCAGCTCTGTCAGCGCCCGCTTGGCGATGATCTGCTTGATTTCGTCGCCGGTGTAGGGTAACGTGCGTACAATCAACAATCTGTCGACAAGATCAGGGGGGCAACCGTGGGGGGCCTTGATGTCGTCAGCGCCTCTGACGGTAGTGATACCTCTGTTGGAGGCAAGCACAACGATGGGGGCAATCGAGGACTCAAGGGCACGGTTGAGGTAGGTGAAAAGCTCCATGTCCAACATGTTGACTTCGTCGATAAACAACACCCCCGGGATCAATTCGGCGACACCCTGGTCGATATATTTAGCCACCACCCGGTCGACTTCCGCGCGCAACTTATCAGTAATCTCAGTCTTTTTCGGTTTGAGCAATTGCCCCATCATCAGCAACACGTCCTGGCCCCCCTGAGGTCTGGCGTTGGCGACGTCCAAATCGTGTAACGTGACGTCCTGGACGATCTCCTTCTTCTTGTGCACTTCCCCTTTAGGTAAGGGGACGTATTCCTCGGCTTCCAAATCGAACTCGGTGGCGTAGGCGTCACTGCGCCCCACTCTCTTGACGGCCCCGGTGTTAGCTTCAATGTAGATGACGTCACCGATGGCCACCCGTTCCTTTTGGATCAGTTCGTAGATGCTCGGGTCTAAACGAAGAGTCTTAGTCCCCTTGGCAGTCTTTAAACCAACGATAACGTTCGAGATCAGTTTCCCCAGTCCCAGGGTATCGGCTTCGGGAGTGAGCTCAATAACCTCACCTTCGTATACTTCCTTAGTCTCTCTGATTCTCAAGCCGATGGCTTTACGGAAATTCTCCATCAACGCCGCCGTCTTCTTGATTTCCGCCAGGTACAACTCCAGCCCCACGATGGGAGTAAACGGCACCTTAGGCCCCAACTCCTGGGAGATGGCAAGCGCCAACGCCGTCTTACCCGTACCGGGAGGTCCGGCAAGCAAAATCGCCCGCCCGGACATCTTTTTCAGCTTGATAAGGTCCACGACGACGCCGCAGGCCTCGCGGGCCTCGTCCTGGCCGATGAAGCCGCCGTCGACACGCTTGGCAATGCCGTGCTCGTCGAGGCCGAGCCCCTTGATGTGGGTGTGGGCCGCCGTGCGCAGTTCCGGCCGCAGTTCCTTGGTGACTTCGGTGATCTCGACCATGGCTGTGGAAGTGCTCGAGCGAAAGTTTGTTTGTGCGATGCGGCTTCGCGCTGGTGGTCAAAAGTGGCAAACTTAGAAGGGTGAAGAATGGGATAATTAGTCTTGTAAGAGGGATGTTGAATTGTTTGGTATGATAGATTGTAGTGGAGTGGTGAGGTTACTATTGGCATTGAGCGTTAAATGTTGGCATTGGCGATGGAGATAGCGTTCAAGTCGAGTGCGACGAATAGACCAACAATAGGTACCCTTACCGTTCATACCAGAATACTAAGGGTGAAGTTGACTTCTGATTGGTGATGTAAATCAGTTCAATGAGGAGTAGGGGTAGTTCAATGAGGGGAAGGAGTGGTCCATTGAGCCGTAAGAGTAAATCTCAAAGTAGCGTCGACATTTGCAATGAATTGTTGACATGGTGGGAAACTCCACTATTAGAATAATTACAAGTACTGCTGGGGTTCACTTGGTTTACTGGAGTCCTACCCGCTCCTTCAAGTGGAACAAACTGTCAATTTTCATCTCTATCTATGGTCATTGCTTACGTATTAGATTAGTACCACCATGGGTAGTGCCATCCTCAATTACGCCAAACCTTCGTGCATCAACCAATTATTAAGGCCATGCGAATGGCTAACCGCGCTACCGTCCCACAATTGCCTGGACCAGTACTCCCCCTAGTAAGGGTCGAAAAATGAGAATATTGGGGGGAACGCGAGGGTATCCGAAACATTCCATGATGATTCCTGAATATAGCCCATCGTCCGTGAGACAAAGGAATTAACCCGTCGTCAACGAGACGAGCGAACAATGGGAAAATTTACCCCTCATTCCCCCCAACTCGCATCGTCAAAAAATGAGCCCCACCGCGTAGAATCTCTAGATGCATATACTAGCCAGATTAAATCTGAGATTGTGTTTTAAACCACAAATTTGACTAGCCCACAATACCAACGTTTGGCTATCACTATTCACTTCCCTCGTGTCGCTAGCATTAAAATTGGTAAATCTGGCTTCGGTGGTCTGATTTTTCACTCAATCGCGCCCCCACATTATTATGTTCAGCTTGCATACCATATCCATCACACCTGCGTAAAAACGACAATAGCACATTGAGACATGAGGAAAACAGAGATGAAAAAAAAAAAGAGAGAAAGCGTAGCCCAGCTTAACGAGGCATGTCAGCATAATCTTACGTTGTCTGAAGATGTTCTGTTATGCTTTAGAGCTAATCTGGATATCGAACGACCACACCCTATACAACCTCCATCACAATCGTAGGTATTGTTGACGTAAAGACGATGGACGGGACGTTATCTTGGCTGCAGGGAGGTGCAGTGGACTGTACAAGGGGTTGTGTGGGGCACTACCCCACAAATTATCTATATAATCCCTTACTTCCCCGGAGTACCAGTTCAAACTTTCTACTAACATGCAATTGGAACCATCAGACGACAACTCCCTTGTGGGGTTTAGCTCGCTGGCATCATCGCCGTGCACTAGCTTTGACGACGACGAGTGGTCGCCCCCCTCTAAAGTAGAGGCACCGCTCTCGCCTCAATTGCAAGCCCGAGCTCTTCAATTGGTACCCTCTAAACGTCTGACTGCTGTAACTACGTACTCCACCACTAACACCGAAACCAACACCAAAAGCAGCACCAAAGTTAACACCGAATTAAAGAAAGTTGATAAGACTGTCCCATACGTACTCCCTCCTCCCGTTAAATCCTCCAGCCTGGCCCTTGTTCCTGCAAATAGCCGAGAAGTAGTTTTCTCGTCCTCCGAGGGTGAGACTGAAAGCACCGGTCCTGACCAAGGATATGCGTCAGACCTCATATCGGAAATTGACGACGAAGACGATGACTTACTCGAGTTAGACCAGTTGAACTTGTTATCGTCGCTGCCTTTTGAAGTTTTGGACGTCTACAAGTCGTTGAACCACCTCCCTTCGACTTCCTCAAGCCGTATTGCCGAACTCGACAAATTGTTGGATAAGATCCCACACTTTCAACACCATGCCAGCCCCCACCCCACCAGCGTGATCAGATCTCTTTCCAAACTGCCTGAAATTGGGCAATTGGGTCTCAAGGTATCGGACAAACGCTACCTACCCTTGGTCCACAGCATGGCCCACACGCTGACTCTGCAATACTGGCACAACCAGGACCAACAACTCATGCCCGTGCACCCGAATTTTATGCCCTATGTTGACTGCTTGCCGACGGATGTGGGCAGAAACAGCAAGAACCGGATGTACGCTTTTGGGCGCAAGCTGGCGGAGGCGATCAGGCTCAACTTGATGAACACGAGAATGGCGGTGGAAGCTGACGCCTTTGCTGCTGATTACACCATTTTTAAATTCGGCAGACCGTCCACCGACTTGGAAGTGTACGAAGGGTTCCACCCACTTAAGGTGAGTCGGGGAAAGTTTGTGTTTACCAAAGTGCCACCAATTTACCGCCCTCAGATCAAGATGAAGAACAAGACGGTCCCCCTTGACCCGTTCAAGTGGATGAAAGCATCCGAAAAGACCCAATACTTGCTGGTCATCCGCGAGGTTGCTCGTCAGGCGGTGGCCCAAGCAAGAAAGCTTGATGTGTCTCAGGTGCTTGACAGACACTTGCTGAATGCGACGATGATGAAGGACGTCGTCGTGGTGTTTAAGGTCCCCAAGTACCCGGTGTGGTACCAATTCAACCCCGTCTACATTCGTGCTACTGAGCCTGAACCTACTCCCTCCCCTCCTGCTACTCCCGAACCTTTGTCGAGAAAGAGAAGTCGGGAAGACGAAGACGATGACGATGACGACGTTCGGGAATCTCCCAAGCGGTGTGTCGCTGTGGGCAACTACCACACCCAAAAGGACGTCGACTACTTGCTGAACCGGGAAATCATTGCCACTAGTGGGTACTCAGTGAACAACACTCACCGCTACCAGCCGTTAGTCCACAACATCAAGGACACCGACGTCGACGCTTTACCCGTTTTGGGCGACCAAAACTTTGCTGGCTTGTTGCTGATCAACGGCATGGTCAGAGACTGTTCCCTCGATTCGAGTAACTACAACGCGAGAATGCTCTGGCACCAGAGCAAACGCATGGAGGTGGGCACCGATAAGTTTGCTGTTGACTTTGTGGTGCAAGCCCCTCCCCAACTGACGAAGCACTTGCGTGTGTTCAAAGGGTCCCTGCCCATACTGTACGTGGATGGCAACCCCCAATTTAAGTGGAGCCCTCCCAACTACGATGGTAGGGTGTCGATCGATGGTGTTGCAATTCCCGCCGACCCTTTCTGGGACATGGAACCGAAGCGGGCTCAGCACTACTTGAAGATCATCCGCATGGTCTGTCGCCGGGGGATTCTTCGGGCTCAGGCCAATTTGAAAGAGAACTTCAAGAGCAACGTCTACTCTAACAAGATCTTCAACAACACCGAAGCCATGGCTCATGTGGTGTGTGTGTTCAAGCTTCCCGAGTACCCCGTTTGGTTCCAATTCCACCCTGTGTACGCCACTAGGTACAAGGGCAAGACCAGCCGGAAGCTTGCGAGAATGAAGCGGCAGGCGAAGCTGGCCGAGAAAGACATGACTCAGTAAGGCAGCAACGTCGTAACGATTTTGTGTTTTTATATTTACGAAGTTTAGTGTTAGTATAATCTTGTGTATTTTAATCAGAGAGACCAATTCAAATAAAGTAAATGTAGAGACGAGATTTAACGAGTGGTGAATGTGGGGGGTATGATGATTGGCGTATCTTCGTTATATATAGTTACCCGTTGAGCAAAGGCTGTTGTTCAGAATTGTATCTGCCTCCTTGCACGGGGTGTTTGGCGACGATGGCATCGATCTCCTCAAGATCAGCCGCCGACAACTTGATCACCTTCAGGAAGTTGTGGCGGATCTTTTCGGGAGTCAGCCCTCCAGGGATAGGGATGATTTTGGGCATTGCCACGCCATGGTAGTTAGGGTTCTCACTCAAAGCGATAAGCCATGATAACGAAAGCGTCTCAAGCGATACGCTAAACTTATTGTGAGCAAGTTGGTAAAGTTCTTTCGAAAGTTTCAAGTTAGCCAAAAAGTTATCACCAGTGAACTTATCAAACTGACGGCGGAAATCTTCTTGAGGCAACAGGTGTAACCACCCTTCACCATTCTCCACTGCCAAATCAGTGAGGATTCCTTGTCCCAACGGTGAATAAGCAATGATGGGAATACCATGCTTGCTGCACACGTCGATGATGCCGTTCTTTAAGATATCGGTGCAGAATAACGAGAACTCAACTTCCACCGCGGAAACCGGCGCCACTGCCACCGCTTTCTCGATGGTAGAAGCTCCAACTTCAGAAAGACCAATACCGTCGATCCAGCCTTGGTCCAAGTACCGTTTGATGGTGGCCATCGTATCCTCAATGGACACCTTAGCATCAACACGAGCCGGCTGGAATAAGATATGTGGTCTACAGGGCATGCCCACGGGGAAGTACTCCAACATCGCCTTCACTTGAGCATCCAAAAACTCCCGCGAGTTATTGGGTTGGAACGTCTCAGGATCAAACCCCGACTTAATTGCGTAGATAAGCTTCCTGTCGAAGGAGTCCTTGTTGATGTCCAAGAACGTCTTCAACAACTTGTAATTGTCGTAGTCAGGACCGTAGAAGTCGGCACCGTTGATGAGGTGTGTATCGAACTCCTGGGTGGCACAATTTAAGGCTCGTAAGGCATCAGTGATTGATGGCCTCGGCTGGCGGAAAGTGAGCGACGCCGTGCCATAGCCAAAAGTCCCGGTGATTTCAAGCATGATTTGACTTGTAGTTTGTATAAGGGTTAATCGATGCTTTTATAAAATCTCGGGTTTCGAGGGGAAGTAAGGGCTTTGACTGTGTGCAGGGTCTTGGCGTAACATCGGCCCATATAGGCGAGCAAGTCAAAATATACTTATAGTATCATTTCTCCAGTTATGAGATACAGCCATCGTCCAATGGTATTGAGTGTATCAGGCCTGATTTGATTGTATCCTTTAGGTGGATCCCGCTGGGGAAGGACCCTTTTTAAGCTCGGCGGTGAGGGTGTCCAACTCGGCAATCACCGTCTCCATCAGGGCTACCGAGGTTTCAATCTGACTCAACATCCCTTCATAGTGGTTTAACTGACCATTCAATGCCTCCAACGCCTGCCCTCGCTCCTGGAGCTGGAGCAAGTTGTTCTCAAGCTTGATGTAATTGAGACTCTGGTTGGTGTTGAGATTTTCAAGTAAGTTGAGGTCGACGATCAGCAGGTAGGTATCGTTTTCTATCACCTGGGAGAGGGCGTTGAGCCCCTGGTTGACGAGCTGGGGGGTATCTTTGGACATGAAGTGTGTGGGCTTGATAAGAAGCACTGGCGTGTGCGTACCAATTCTACGCGAGCAAGAGAGATCAAAGATTTGGGCAGTGCGGCGGAGGTTGGCTATGATAACCACTGTAGCCGCACCGTGCCTAAACTTGATAGCCTCATCCTGCACATCCTTCAAGTTAATTTGTCAGCACTGTGCCACACAAGTTAGAGTTTTCCAGAGAAAATTGAGGGTTACAAACTTTGTGTGCGAGATTAGTAATATGATGAGCAAAGAAGTTGTGATGGTAAACTCGGTGAAATATGCCTGGAGGAGAGTGTGTCAGTGTAGTCAGATGGTCCGTGGATATTTGATCGTAAACGCGGCCCGTCTCGGTGACTACCCTTCTTAGTGGGCTGCGTCGGGGGGACTTTTATATACATCGATGAGCGTCTCGGCAAGCTCGGTGGCATTCATTTTTAGCGATCGGCTGCGTCGGGGACTTCCACTTTCGTCGGTGGGCTGCGTCGGTAGCTTCCCAATTAGTGCGGCTGACAGAGCATAACTGCTTGTTTAACGCGAGAACCATCGGGGCGTTGCCACATCGAGAAACAGAGATTTATCAAGGGCGGCAGCAATGTTTTAAGCGACTATATATAGTCAGCGATCCTACCACCTCACAGCAGTAAGCATGTGGTACCAGTTTGTTCGTGACTCATTTTTTGGCCGCTCAACGTACCATCTCTCCAAGCATAAATTTTTCTCGTACCGAGAGGAAGCATCTGACTATGAAGTGGACAAGAAGTACCTCGTCCAAGAGTACGCTCCGTCCAAGGCTTCGGCAACTAATGAAGCCACGGGCAAAGTCTGCGACCTGCTGGACCTGCTGATAGCGTGTGAGAAGGATGCCTCAACCCCTCAATCGCTGGTGATTTTAGTGACGTGGGATGGGGATGATGACCCCGAAAATCCTCGTAACTGGCCCGTGAAGCAAAAGGCGTTTTTCGTCGTGCAAATTGCCTTCCTTACCATGTCAGTGTACTTGGCCCTGGCCATTTACACTCCCGGGGTCGACCAGATTATGGAAGACTTTCACGTGGGCTCCGTGGTGGCGACATTGCCGCTTACTCTTTTCGTTATTGGCTATGGTATTGGCCCAATGTGGTTCCTGCCAATGCTGGAAAACTCTCGCTTTGGTCGTACCCTGATTTACATCACCACGTTATTCCTATTCTTCATCTTACAGATTCCCACGGCTTTAGTGAAAAATATCGCCGGGTTGTGTATTTTGCGGTTCCTCTCAGGGATCTTTGCCCTGCCAGCACTTGCCACCGGTGGTGCTTCAGTGTCTGATGTGTTACAGTTGCCGTGGATGCCGGTGGGGCTTGCTACGTGGTCTATGGGTGCTGTTGCTGGTCCCTCGTTGGGTCCGCTCATTGGTTCCGCTTTAATTGTTGCTGGTGGCTGGAGATGGACGTTTTGGTTCATGGCCATTCTCCTGGGATCAGCATTCATAGTGTTGACTTTTACATTTCCCGAACTGTACGAAAAGACTCTTCTCGCCCGTAAAGCTAAACGGTTGAGAGCAATCACCCAAAACTCCAATATCAAGCTGGAAGGCGAGATTGAAAATGAACAGCTTACCACTCGCCAGGTACTCGTGGACACTTTGTGGCGTCCGATTGAGATCACGTTGTTGGAACCGGTGGTGTTGGCGGTGAACTTGTACATTTCGCTCGTGTATGCCATCATGTACTTGTGGTTTGAGGCGTTCCCCATGGTGTTCATTCAGGTGTTTCACTTCAAACTTGTGCCGATGGGCACCGCTTTTGTTTCAATCATCATCGGGATCATCTTGGCGGCCATCATCTACGTGTTCATCATCTACCACCAGTTCACCAAGAAGCTATTGGCAGGGACTATGGTCAGTCCCGAAGTGTTTATGCCCATTGCCATTGTTGGCTCAGTATTGATGCCCATTGGGATCTTTATCTTTGGCTGGACGGCGGCCCCTGACCTCCATTGGATGGGTCCGATTATAGGCGCCGCCACTTTCGCCATGGGGGCGTTTTTCATTTTCCAAACTTTGTTCAACTTCTTGGGGGCGTCCTTTGCTCCTGAATACATCGCCCTGGTGTTCGCCTCTAATGATTTCGCTCGGTCTACCATTGCTGGGGTGTTCCCATTGTTCGCCAGACCGTTGTTTTTGAACTTGAAAACTAAACGCTTCCTTGTGGGGTGGGGTCTGTCAGTTCTCGGTTTTATCTGTGTGGTTATGATTGCCATTCCCGTGACCTTTTTGCTTATCGGGCCGAAGTTGAGAGCTCGCTCTAAGTATGCGGCAAAGTGGTAGCCACTTGAGCTTCAAGGATAAGAAGTCTTGTATATATGACCTAATGCGTAATTAATATAATCTAATGACGAAATCAAATTGTGTAGATGAATCCATCAGTGAACATATTTGCAGATATATTTCCCGACAGCAATTTGAAGATTACGAGCACGAGCGACTTACTTGCTCACTAAGTGTAACCTCAAATATGCAAAATCAAAGAGTTTTCGTCTGACAATTTGCCTAAATCTCTATAAACCACCCCAACTAGTAGACAAACTTAAAGTCGAGTCGCTTGTTGCCTTCGTCGGTGGTGTCCATCATATAGTCGTCTTGTTCTTCCGGGGTCATGGCGTTCCACTTTTTCTGCTTCCAGTGATTGCGCCACCCGAACCACACCCGAGCGAGTATGCACCACACGAACGCCGCAGCCGCAATGGCAATAAGCTGCTTGTTACCCCGACGGTACATAGGAGCATCGTCTTTGCGGTAGATGTTAGCAGAAATGATCCCGGCAATCTGACTGAAGATGTTCACCACCGCCACCAGCACCGTACGATTGCGTACGGAGTTGGAATTGGACAGACACCACGTGATCGAGATTGGCCACGAAGGGGCGTGGGCCAAAAGCATCGTCAAGAGGGCATAGGTGCCCCACTGGTCCTTCATGAACCCTGGCCACGCTAGGAAGGGGATAAGACACACGAGCACCCAGAACGGTTGGAAGGCAAGAGTAAAGGCGCGGGCATTATACTTCTCCGAGAACCAGCACGATAGAAGCATAAACACGATGGTGCCAAACGCATGAGGAATGGTCAAGGCATTGGTGGTGGCGGTGGAGAACCCCATTTGTCGCAATAATAACGTCAAGTACAGTGAAGTTGGGGAGGCGCCAATATCGACCAAGATACGGGCGAAATAAATGAACATGAGGTCGTAGTCACATAACGCTTTGAAGAGCTCTTTGAAACCAACGGGGGTGTGGTTATTCATCAGACCCTTAGCAGGGTCATCACGCAATACCTTATTGACGAGGATCTTCTCCTCTCGGTCAGTATACCACCCTTTGGGTCGGTACCAGGTCTTGGTGGATACCACGGAGGGAGGCATTTGGAAGAACGCCGCCACCCCAACGAGGAGAGTACCCACACCTTCAATAATAAACATCCATTGCCACCCATGAGGGAGCACTGAAGTGCTGATTCGAAGAAGCCCAAGCGAGACGAGCGCCAGCAATACCTGAGTTAAAGGGTTGGAGATATAAAATAACCCCATGCGAAGAGGAAGCTCGGGACCAGTGTAGAAGTATGACATCCACAAACACACGTCGGCAATAAACCCGCCTTGGAACGCTCCCAAAAGAGCTCTGGTGACAAAGAACCCCGCCTTGTTGGTGATGGCCGCCTGGGACATCGACACCATACTCCACGCGATCATCTGGATGGGGATCCAGATCTCGGGACCAAGCTTCTTCAGGACAAGCTGCGACGGAAGCTCTGCGAAAAGGAAACACACCAAGTTAATCGTCTGGCCAATATTGTAGTCGTTAGTGGTCATGCCGCCATCCTTCAAGAAATCGTCGGCGAGCGCCTGGCCCAAGTTGTACCGATCGAAGTTCAATGCGGTGAAGCAGCAAAACGCAAAAAAGGTGACGTTCCAGTCGTTTTTCCACACGATCTTGCGGTCTTCCTCTTTGGTCCACGTCAAATCGGGGTCAAGCAAGTGGCGGCACTCGTAGTCACTCTCGTCGTACATCTTCGAGTAGTAGGCAAGCTTTTTCGGGTCCTTGAACACATGGTCGTACGAGTCGTCCAGGGTGTTCGACTCGACGTCGACGACCAGCTGGTAGTCGTAGACCTTCTTCTCATTGCTCTGCCGGCTTTCCATTAGCCAGACTTGGTTTTTAGGCTCTGATTAAAGATCTCCATTCAGCTTTTGCAGCCGCTTTATAATGACCTGCACTGTGGAGCTTTTGGCGAGGCGCTCACTGTGGTGGCGCCTGCGAAAAGCACAATTTAGCCAAGCATTAGGCGATACCCACGCGGCGACAGCGCAACTATGCCGCTGATTTCAAGCTCCTCCACCACTTGCTCGACGTAGGGGTCGTCCAGCGGGGCGACGACGCCGCCGCCGATCAACAAGTGGAGATAGGCCACCACCGCAGCCACGGCTGACTCGATCTCGCCTGGCGCGAGTTTACGAGCGTGGTCGCCGTGGAGTTCGAAATACGCCGACACCGCCCGTTGCAACCCGGCGTTTGTGTCATCAGCGATGGCGGCGGTGTCGTTGCGTAATCGGGCGAGGGTGTCGGGAATCAGTGCGACGGGCGCACTCGGGGCGGGGGAATTTGTGGCGTGGATGGCGCCATCGACATCGCTCCACGAAAGTGGGGGTTTTGGGGGGACAACCACCAGCGCCGCAAGCTGTTTCGCTGAGCTTAATTGGCCCTGCCGTTTTTGCTTCAACTGGCGCAATTCGTGGGCGGTGGTGGCGAGGCCGACGACGTCGTCCTTGGAGTTGATGTACCCCACCGTGTCGAGCACTTTGGCCCACGCCACCACCTGGCGCGCGTCCAGCGCCTGCGCTTCGTCGACCTGGGACTCAAGCGCACCAATAGCGGTGTTGGCTTGCTGGAGAAACCCTTCCACCCGCTCAATCTCCTTCTGGAGCCGCTGGTGGTACGCCTCCATCCTCGGAGTTTGGTGTGGGTAGGTTATTCAGGTAGTAAATAAACCGTCGCGCCTTTATGATGATGTCACGTGACCGAAAAAACACCCATCAAGTATACCTTCCCCTGATCTACTACCATCACTAGCCATGTCTACCATCAGCCCGCTGGCGCTTGCGCTGTTGGACGAGCAGCTGCGCAACGAGATCAAGGAGTTCCTTGAGACAGAGAACCAGAAGAGCCGCGTGCAGTCGCAAATCCACTTCTACAACAACCTCTGCTTCGGCAAGTGCTTCGCAGACAAGCCCATCACCCTGGGCCACCTCGACGCCGCCGAGGAGCTGTGCTTGCGCAACTGTGTCAACCGCTACTTGGACTTGAACGTCAAGGTGGTCGGGGCGTTGCAAGGCCAGTGAGAGAGCCTTTGAGCATTTCTCTTTGTACATAGCAAATATAATGACTTCTACGCTTAGTACCGTTTTCGCGCCATAATGTTGCGGAGACGACCAGCCGTTTCGTAACTCCACAATTGTGGCGTCTCGTATCTTTGAAAATTGATCCAGAGATCAAATTGCCGTTTGGACAATCGATAACTGATAACGTATACGGCGATCGTTGGTTATCAGTACCCCGATTAGTGGTTGCAGGTTACTGTGCTAGGAGGCGGGCACCCACAACCCTGTGGCGTGTAGCTCATCGAGCTTGGCGTCCACTGCTTGTTTGTAAGGGGTGTGGATCTTGGCTAGCCGCTGGCGCAATGTCGTCCACATCGCACTGAAATCGAAGCGGTACTGGTGCAATATCGCCTGGGCGTCGTCGTCCTGCGATGCCACAATGCTGATTATTTGTTTTTGGCACTCAAGTACTGTCAATATGAGGCCAAACCCATCGGCATAGTCGTCAATGACAAACGGATTAATCAAGATTTGTCCTAAGACAAACGTGATGCGAGATAACGACACAAGCACTGCTGCTTGGAGCTGGTCAACAATTAGCTTCAATTGTTCTACAAAGAAGCTCATGAATTTCCATTCATGTTTCAAGTGGCTTATCAGCGAGAGTACTTGCCCCACAAGTTCAATTCTCTGAATGGGAGTTGAGGCTAGTAATAGGGCACACGGCCACGCAACTTGAAGCAACTGTTCAGCTTGAGCTTCAGGTGTCAGTGGCGGGAGATAGGAAAGACACACGTCCACTGATTGTCTGAGTTCTTGCACCACTCCTCCCATTAGTAGGTCACGATGATTAGTGAGCACCTCCAATAAGATATGGCACGCCTGGAGCTTTATCCTCTGTTCGTAGTCATCAAACAACACTAGTAGAAACGGGATCACAATCGAATACTCTTCTCCACGGACCACTAGCGGCCATATCATGCCCAAACTGCCCACTCCCGCGCCCGCCTTCCACTGGCGACGGCTATCCTCTTGAAGAATCTCCTGATTCACTCCCAGCTGAGCTAAACGTGCCACCCTTTTATTGGGCCTGCTAACTGCAAGCAAATACGGTCGTATCCACTGGGCAATGTCCGTAGAGGGGACGGAGGCAAGACAGTCGAGGGCAACCCGGGAGTGGGCGGCATTAGACCACGGGACGTGCGGGTTGGCATGGAAACTTAGGGAAACCAAATCATCCTCACTCAATTGGCTAGCTGTAGTGGCAGCACAGTGCTGGATAAACTCATCGTACTGCAGCGGGGTATCGTTCCATGCCACCTCCCTGATCATGGCGATGCGTGCGAGCCGCGTGGTACACACTGAAGACATCAAAACTGAAAACTAAGGAAGAAAAATGTCTGAAAGTGAAAGCCTCGTTGATGAATGCTAAAGGAAATGTCATTAATTTTTAAATTACTAGATTTCTCTATGGATTCGCTTATACTCAATTATTGGGACCAGCCAACGATTAAGTATCTATGCTATACATCATGGTGGCCATACTAGTCGCTAAAACTCAATATCACGCTCATCATCGTCACGGACGGGGAGCAAAAACGGAGCTTTGGCCAGTTGCAATAAGTAGCGGAGGGGCAGTTCCGGCATACAGATATTATCCCATACGATAAGCCCTTTGAAGAACAGTCCGTGGCACAACGCCACCATCCCATCAGGTAGTGCTCTTTCTAGAGCCACCCACCCTTCACGAGGTTTTCCCCTAACATTCAAAATCTTAAGGCGACGGTGTTTGGGACCTTCAATACTGTGAAATGACCACGGCTGATTCAGCATGATCGATAGCTGTTCAATCTCCGTGTAGAGACCATCAAATCGAAGCTCAAGCTCGCGAAACCACCGCCACCGAGTACACCGACACCGGTTGATTTTCAACAGCTGGAGTTGTGAGGGAAACACGGGGAACTTGGTGTAGCTGATGTCATCAAGCTCTAGTTCCTTCAAGTATACCAATTCACTGAGGTTGGCTGGGAGAATGCCGCCTTCAATGGATAGAGAACGCAACAGTCGCGGTACCACATCCATCGTTTGGTTATTCTTTAGGCGAAGCAGAGTGAGGGAGGTGGGCAAGGGTAGTTGGTGCATCACTAGTTTGGCAAAGTAAGGGGTCACCAATATCCATTCCCAGGGAGTATTACCGAACTCCTCACTGGTGAAATCACCCATCTTTAACGTTTTTTGTGGGATGTGACACTTGAAATAGGTTAACGAATGAGGGTCGACGATGGTGAGATTCTGTAAGGAATTGGACATCACAAGACACCGCTCAAGGGGTGCCGTCAACACAATATCCGAGATCTTATCGTCGGTGATGCTGAAGCGACGGAGACTGTGAGGGTATATCATTGGTTCTCTGGTATCCACACAAACTAAATCTAATGCTTGAATGCTGGAGATGATATCAATCCGGGGCAGTTCCACCCACCAAAGAACCACATCTCTCAATTGAGGTGAATCGATGACTAAAGGGTGGTTGATCTTAATACTTTTCAACTCAAGACTGGTGAGGTGGGTGAAAGTATCCAAATTGAGGCAGGCACAGTCGACGTCTTTGAGCTTCAAATGGGTGAGATCGGATGATAGCTGCTTGAAGTGGAATGTGACGGCTTCAAAGTCAATTTGAGGACAATCAATCGGCGCAGTGACAATGGAGTTTCTAAGTACCAATTGTTGGCCAATGGCTCCCTTGAATGCAAATGGCGACCGAGTCGATTCCACCCGTTGTAGCTGAGGTAAACAATCATCAAACACTCCCTCTGACCCTTCGATTGATTCTAATTGAGGGTTTAAGGCGATTATCGGTTGAAGATTAGCCCCCTTAGTTCCTCTAAGCTCCACCAAACGAGGGAACCGTGGTGGAAACTTCCACCGTACTCCCAGGTCCACCTTTAAGTGCGTTAATCGGGGCACTTCACAAGTGACGTGAATATGGCCAGTAATCGAAAGTCTCTCCAATGTAGACGGTAACGTCTCAATCTCACAGCCATTGCCACTAATCACCAATGACGTAACTGTGTCTCGAGGTTTCAGAAGTCGTACAATTGGGTACGTAATCAACTGAAGCTCCACGTGTTTTAACTGGGTGTATCGTTCATCCACCACCCCTAACAACGTATAGTCGCTAAACCTCATCAGTGCCACTTTCGGTACTAAAGACGCTGGTAGCTCCTTACACGAGAATGGCCAGTCAATGGTATCGATATGGTGGCGGTAACGTTTCACAATCAGCTCAACAAATAAGGGGACGACAATGCTCTGATTAAACGTTAGATAGACATTGTGGATCCAGGGGATAAGGTGGACATGGTTAAACACCGAAAGAAACTCCTGGCACTGGCGTATCAGCACCGCCTGGCGATTACGGGGGTCGAGTTCGGGGATGGCAACGTGGATAGAGTAGCGGCGATTGACCACCACCGAGCGGACCACGGGGTCGGTCACCACCAGGGCGAGCCAGTAGACCAGCTCGAGGTCGTCGCCGACGAAGCCGAGGATGATGTCGATCACCTCGACCGGCAACGGGTTCATGGCGTCATTAGTTTGCGACGTTTGCTGCACTGGTGTAAATGCCAACCCCGCACTTAGGCACCGCTGTCAGTTACCGATTAAGACCGATAAAGAGCTAGAGAGTATCAAATCGTTTTATTTTAATAATTTACTGATTAGATTTGAATTCATGTTTCACCACTTGTAGTGTCATTCATGGCCACACTCGATCTCTTTGCGATCGCCGCATTTTGTGTGCGAGATCGTCCCACACTCACACTAAGTGCCCCCACCAACCATTATTTATTCCTTTGCCACTACACCTTTTACCTCACAAAACCAAATAATTCAACGGATATAATGGCCAGAGATACTCCCGAACCAACGGGGCAAGCGCTGAATGGCTCGCAAACTCAGACCCAGACCCAGCCTCAGCCCCAAGTCCAACCGATCCTCCACTTGCGGGCGCCACCAAAAGAAGAAGAGAAGAAGAAAAAGAAAGAGAAAAAGCCTCGAGTGCAGTGGACGGAAGATGTGATTGATAACGAAAACATGGGCAAGAAGAAACTGAAGATTTGCTGTATTTTCCACCCTAATCAAGAGTTTGACGATGACCATAATTGTGAGGAAGACCTGAGTCTGAGTTCTGACGACTCAGAAAACGAGGAGGGGAAGCCGAATGCCTACGAGAGACAGCCGAAGTATCACAATCATCTGCACCTTCCCCAGAACCCCGCTTAATTTACTGATGACAAATGACTATCACCGATACCCACTGTGATATACAAACTAATTATGTCTTTCGCCACTGTGAGACATACAGTTATCTTGTCTCATTTCTAGATAGTTTTACATTACTCCAATCTCCTGCCTGAGGTTTGAGGATTCCGTCTGCTACACTTCTTTGTGGCCTGATTTGAATGGTCGTGATTCCATGGCTTTCATTAATAAATAGTTTATGCGTAAATAATCTATAAAACTCTAGCGACCCATCGACACTTTGAACGTAAACGTCACCAAGAACGGAAGCGTCACCCAGAAGATCGCATACTGGAAGATGAGACACACGGCGAGGCAGTCCATTTGCAAGTGGTCTTCGGAGTTGGGGTCGGTGTAAAATGCAGTGAAAAACACGAGGATCGTTGCCAGGGGCATGCCGAACTCGATCACCAGGACAAATCGAAGCAAATCTTGTTTGCCGTACCAGCCGCCGTGGACAAGACCCGTGGTAAGCCCGACGCCGAAAATGGGGAGAACGACGAGACGAGACACGGTGATGCCCACTGCAGTTTTCCAGAACCCTTTAGGCATCTTCTTAACCTGTAATCTCAGGATGGTGGCCCCTAAAAGGAGTAAACCAAGCGGAACCAGGGCGGCCCCGATATACGATACAATATCCATGACGAACAGTAATGGTGGTTGATGATCAGGAGCAGTGGGGATGTGGGGGTGCTCCACGGGGACAAATAATGCCTTAAGTGGAGGTGCCATGGAAATGGCAATACCGGCGATAAGCGCCATCAGATTGGGCGTACGCAAGTTTTTGCTCATGGTGATGCACCAGTTTTTGAACCCCAGCCAAAGCCGTTGCTTTAAGGGTAGTTTTGGTTGGTCCACTGTGGACATAGCCAGTATATTATCCGCAGGGTCGTTGACGTCATGGTGGTGGCCCAGGTACTCACTGTACTCATTAATCACCGTTTCAATATCTTCAGTACGGTGATGACGTTCCAGTACCGTCCGCGACGGGATCATTTGGAGGTTGGTTTGCATCGGTTGTTCGCATGACCGGCGGTGCTGGATGAACTGTTCATGCTGAGCTGATGACGTTTGCAGTGGTGCTATCGAGACCAGCAGCAGTGCTAGTGATGGAGTATGGTCAGATGACGCCACACTGTGGGCATCATCTTTTTTCTCGTCGGAACTGTCGTCGTGAACGTGGACAAGATTGAGCCGTTTATCTCGCTTGAAATCGTATTCCACGAGTCTAAAGAGACCAAGCGAGAACTGGAGACAGATCTGAGCCGCCACGTAGATACAGACAAAGGCAATACCGCGGTTACCTTCGGCTTCAGAAATCACCACACCGCCTTTACTCATCGTCTGGAGATAGGCAATGGGCATATCGCTAATGTTGGGGAATAAACCAACACTAAGCAACCCGCCGAGCCATCGCCGCGGCAGCTTGGTGAGGAAATAGGTGAAGGCGGCGAGCACAAGCCCCACGGTAAAGAGACACAATGCCGTGAAAAAGACGATGCCAATCTGCTTGATATCACTCAGCTTCAAGTTGCTGATCAAGTTATTGAGGATAAGACACGGCATCACCGCCGTCACCACCATATCACTGATATCTCGGCATGTCAGCACCGTCAAGATATTGCGCTTAGCGAGGTAGAAGCCGAGGGCGAGGATGAAGTAGATCTTGAACATCGGCTTCACCGCCACGTAGATGATGGTACCAATATAGAGCGACATCCTTGGGTAGTTTACTCTCGACGACGGAGAGAGCAGTCAGGGATATTTGCCGCAAAGTAATCTCGAGAGGTTGTACCGAGTATTTCGGACTAAAGGCCGAAGAGAGGGGTTTGCATTTTTCGATGCCGCACTCTCTCACCGCAACCTCAGTATTTAATGGTAAGTGGAGCTAATGCTAATGGGGTATGCCTTGATGGTCTCGGGGAATTACATAGAGGGTTTACATTGGGTTTTTTTTGATAATTTTGATGTATATTTCGTTGGTTATCGTTGACGTATGGTGGCGGGTTCGGAGACGGCTGCGGCTGCAAATGTAACGTTACAACGTAGGGTAAAGCCTCGATGCTTTTTGTGGCTTCCGCGCCTTAAATCCAAGATGTTGAGATTAGTCATCATAGTCGACGATAAACATTCCAGTTCAGTGGTGGGTGTTTGAGGTTCTGGAGCTGATGAAAGTGTTACGTATTGTGGGGTACCTGGGGTTGGTCTCTCGATTGAGCTGGGGTGCGCATCTCAAGGTGACAGCGATATCCCCACCACTACAGACTCAAACTGAGGAATCTCTTCAATAAAGGCGAGAATGGTGCTTAAATGATCATAGAGAAGAGACCGCTCAATCATCTAAATTGGATATTGCTGTTAAGCTGCCTTTGTAAATTTGTCTCAGTCGCGCTGAGTAATCGTCCCCAACAAAAGCCTCACCTAATATCGACCCCGCCAGCCCGCAGGGCTAACCCCGACAGGAGACGGCGTGCGCGTACGCGTCTCGCTGCTGACAATAGCCTGCGCCAGTCCCCTTGTCAACACTTTTAATTATGCCTCTATGGTTACGAGGATAAGTATTGGCTAATATGTGGGGTTGACAATACCCCGTTGTCAAGAGAAAATCAATCTATTATTTGTGGTCGACGTCTAATTCTTGGATTCTCTCCTCCTCCCAATGAAGAGCTACCGATGGTAACTGTGTTATGGGCATCGCGCGTCCTCCGCTGGCGTCCATCACTTCGGCACGGGCTCCGTGCCTTTCTAGCCTGATTAGGCAAAGCGACGAGATCGTGCCTAGCGAGTTGGCCGCTTCACCATTAAGAATTGGCGCCATGCAGCGAATCAACCCCAATCGGGAAGGCAATCCACGAGATCATCCCACCGCGGAAATACATCATGTTGCGTGGGTATTCTACGTCATCGATCTCTCTACTACGAGAGAGCATGTCACCGTGTTAGCTAATATAGTATATTTCTTGAAACGTAGAAAACAAACGGGGGGGGCCCAGCCAGCTAATCAGGTGCTGCTTTTTGAAAGGCAAAAGCGGTTTGAGGGTATCGAGATTAGTTTGGCTGAGTGGTCACATGGCCGATGCAATGGGACACCGGTAATAGTACAAAGGAGCGTCACGGATTAATGATAAAGAGCGTCGTGGAAATCGTTAGTCGTCATAAAGGAGCGTAAATGGTCGGAGGCAGGTTATTCTTCGGACTAAACGATGACTCGGCTCAAACGCTTAAGCGATCTGGGAGTGTGGTGGGCGACGATAGTGACTACGTCGTCAATCAGACACACTTGCATCTCGCCTAGCTCCTCGAGCTCGAGCTCTTCCGTCTGCAGCGGTTCCTCACACTCCAGGAAAATCAGTTCTTCCAGGTCACTCGAAAACCGTCTCTCGTCCCACAGCAGCAGGTCCAGGTCACATTTGGGCAGCGGAATCTCCTGGATCGCTTTTAGCGTCAGCGGAGCCTGTTGTTGTGGTCTGGGAGGCAGTACAGGAACGGTAAATTGGGGCGGTTGTTGGAAGTGGTCAGGCACATTAGCAGCACGACGGCGGGGAGACCTCCGGGGTACGTCGGCAGCAGACATACGGTCAAACACTAAAAATGTTAATATCACTGGATATTTGTAAATATGACGAGGCTATATATCGCCTCGTCCCCCAACTGGGGCTCGGAGCCAGCCACCGAGGGCAATTTCACCTCAGGTCACAAATGCAGGCTCAAGGAGCGTTACCAGCCATCATCTGACACCTGCTTGTAACTCCAAAGACTTTTTCCACCGTTATACGTACCGGGAATGCTATACTCGAAAGTAGCCATTTTGTCCTTATGGTAGATGAGCAAGATCGGGGGGTGACGGGTGGTTTTAATATTTAGTCGCATTTTGCTGCTCTCTGCACGCGGTTGTCAGGAGGATGTGACCGGGGCGCCTCAACCCATGCCGGCCACAGCCGTTGTGGTGGTGACCGCCAGCAGACAACAACATGGCAACAGGTGTGGCAGAAGCGTACAGCTGGTAGTACAAGGCTGAAACGATGTGTATTCTTCACTAGAAGCCATTCCCTTCACTACAAACTTAGTTTGCCTACCTTTTTGGCTTTAATGAGTTGCGTTGGTAGGGGACCCTGAGCCAGCGCTGCCGACATATGCCCCTGCCTCAACACTGCCTCTAACAGGAAACTGCGAACTGCAGACGAATGTTTCTTTCGGTGACCGGCGGGCTGGCAGCTGACAGACGTGTCCACCAGGTGGCAACGTGGTCGATAAAGTACTTATATCGGTAATGTTTGTTGGTTTGGTCTTTCGGGGGTTTAAATTGTTGGCGGGGTTTGGAGACAAGGGGTGTCCTACCCTCGGCTCCGCCCTCGGAAGCGGCGAGCTCCGGTGGTATCGTCAGATAATTATCGACGCGTCTTTTTTTTTATCGGCTAATTATAGCAGCGAGTCGTCCCAATGAAGCTTGAGACGACCACGGGGGGTTAGGTTGAGGACACTTTCGGAATAGAGTACAAAAAAAATCGTTTCGTTTACCTAGTAATTCATCGGCACTAAAATCGATATAGTCTAAAAGGGTTTATCTTACGTTTTGAATGATGGCTGGTATTTACGTCAAGCCATTGGCGGAGGGGGTGTGGTGGTACCTTTCTGTTGCCGTGTTGCGAGCCCTGGTCCCAGCCAGATTTTTTGTATTGCCTTCTCGCACACTCGCTCACACACAACACCTTAATCACAAAAAACTACGAGATTGAGGTAATTGCTTTATTGACCCCTATCTTACGGGGCTAAACGTTAAAATCTAATACGAGGGTTGCCATTAGACTACAGGCAAAACCCTTCTTTTTTTAACACCCTCATACCCTCGTATATCGATCCCCTTGGCCAGGGGGTCCGGTTCGGAGTTGCCCCTATTTCTCACTACTCAAACCTCACAAAGGGTGTGACCAATCTCTCTCACAGCCACACGGCTTCAACGGATCTACCCATCCTGAGACCCAACAGAGAGAGCAAAGCAAAAGTGGAAAGCAAACACTAAAGGTAAAGAAACTACACTGCCCGCCCCAGTACCCAACAACCGACACTTTCTACCCCCCTTACGCTGACAATCCAAAAGTGTTTGCTTTTTGCGATCTCTAGCCAGATTCTGCAAACTTCCGACCGTCGCCTGTTATTTCTCTTGTCCAGCCACTTTTTCTCCTATGGTCACCGCTTTGGTCAGGTTCGAATTTTTGTGATACTTTTTTTTGTGACAGCGGATTTTTTGATGTTTTTGATGCACGGGTGTTTCACGTGTTTATGGTGACAGCCAGAGATGGCTGGCTACTAAAAAGTAAACACTGAAGCCCCACTGAAAATCGCCAATTGTTAAATTTCCGGCTCAGCGGTTTAAATAGCGTGACCATTAAGCAACCAGATCAGATCGGTTTAGGGTCGTATTGCTGTTCATATGCCTGTCATGTCTGGAATTGGCTACTTTGACTTCCGCTTTGGGATGAGAGATAACGGACGAGTGCATCGTCTAAACCTCGGCATATACGGGGGCCTACATCTGTCTACTGCACTGCTAATTAGTCCATTCATTTCTTTACCAGTTTAAGCTAGTTCTTCACCCGTTTCGGGGCGGGTTCGCCGTCGCCTTCGTCGTCGCCGGAGTCGTCGGACGCGTCGGAGTCAAACTCTTCCGCCGGGTCAGAGTCGGAGCCGCCTTCGAAGTCGTCGTCCTCCAGCTCGTCCTCGCCCGCCAGGCCCATGTCGACATCGCCATCGTCGTCATCGTCGCCCTCCTTCATCGCTTGGGCGAGCATCGCCTTGGCGATCTTCTCTTCGTTCTTCACCCGCAACCCCTTTTCGTTACAGAATCTCTCCAACGGCTCTTGTTCGTCCTTATCAATCAGCCCGAAGGTGTGAGTGATGTTAGACCCCTTAAGCGCGATCTCAAGGTCAAACGTGCGCAGCGCCAGCACCCCGCCGCCGGTACGCAGCATCGTCACCAGCAGCACCTCGGAGAAGGGGATGTAGACGGTGGGCTTGGTGACAAAGAGGAAGCAGCGGTCGAGCGGGTACAAGTACCCTTCCAGCGCCTTGAGCGAGCACAGAATACCCGGTTGCAACACCTTCAGCTGGAAGGAGCCAGGGACGATCACCCGGCGCTCAGTGAGGCCCTTAAAGCAATGCAGGACCACGATGTGAGCCTGGGCGTCGTAGTGCTTTTTAAGCCTCAGTTCGTAAGTTTTTTGGTACTCTTCGTCGGTCAAATTAAGGTCGACTTCAAGCTCATCTTCCTGGTTAAATTGCATGACCAAGAACGGGTACCGCGTCTGCCCTTGGCGCAACGGGGGGTCGATCTGAAGGATAATAAGGTGGTGGGTGTCGTCGGGCTTTGGAAGCGAGAAGATCCGCTCGATTTGCTTGTACTGGATCTTGTAGTCGTAGGTCTTACCCCGCAATCTGAGCGACAGCGCGTACATGTCGATGTCGTAGCGCCCACGGGGAGTGACAAACAACGTGTCTTGGAACGACACCACGGCGTCGCCAGCGACCTGGCCGATGTCGGCCTTATCGCGGATCTGGTCGTAGAACGTCTGGGCGGCGCTGACTTCTTCCTGTTCCGTTTGTTCAGTTTCCACCCCCTCATCATTTTTGACGGTAGTAGTCTTTTCCACTTCCTCGGTACCGGGGATATAAAATCTCATTTCCACGAGTTCGTCGCCGGCGGCGGCGTTGGCGTCGGGAGGGGCCAATTCCACCGCTACTTCGTTTTTACCCGTCAAATTCGAGTTGGAAATCATCGAGTAGGGCACTTCAAACCCCGGTTTGTTGGCAATTTCAAATACCAACTCGTTTTTGGCGAAATCGGTCGTCCCCCAGTTCCACCCTCTCATCGCGTGTTCCTTGTGTTCCAACTGCAACGAGAAATTGCGCTGCAATTCTTGCTTGAGCTTGTTGTAGTCCTCGACGTCAAACCCGTCCAACATCACCACGCCTTGGTTTTTGGTCTGGACCCTGACTTCGTAGCCTCGAGCGCCACGCGACCACAGCACGCTGATGAGCTCGTTGGCGGGTAGAAGGAAAGGGGCGTTATCGGCGCCGTCGCCCTGGCCCTGGGCCTTACGCCACCCAAGCCCAGACTCGGCAATCCGCATCCGCCCGGAGCCGCGGCTCTGGTTGAGGTAAATGCGGTCAAAGTCGGTGTTGACCATGGTTAATTTGGTGGACAAACGCGCACTGGTGAAAAAATGGTCGCCCACGCGTGTAGCAATTAAACACGAGGAGGGAAACGAGTATGACGAAATTTGAGAGACAAGGTAATTGAAAATTGCGTTCTTTTGTGTTCATGAGGTCAATTGGATAAGGGCAATAGACTTCGATCACCCTCTTTGATTGGGGTTGTTATTGATTGCGACTATGATGGTATTAGCGTACTCTCTCGATGCTGGTAGTGACCCTCGATATACTCCACTATCGAAACAACAAATTTTGATGAGATTTTTCAGAACTGTCGATGACACCTGATCAATTGTAGTACTTTGAAGTATCCACGATATTTCAGATGGCAATATTGTAAGCTTTCCCGGGTGGAAGGGTCGGTCATCGGCGATATCGCTTTTGCAATTACAATGGTGGTTCGGAATTGTCATGCATCGGAAGCCCCCCGTCGCCGACCTCCGCCAAATGCATCAATACTTCGAATCTTTATTAATCCACCAATCCACAAGTACGCCAAATCTCTATGCGATGACCCTAGACAAAATCGTCTTGATTCCAACTTTAATCGCTTACAACCTATCAATACTTCGTTACTTTTCCCTGATACGACAAGTTTTGATTACGTTTGCACGCGATAGATGGCACGACAAAGGCTATTGTTACTCGCTAGCAACCGCCCGCCGAACTCCGCAAAAACCTTTCTCCATTGTGATCCAAGGGACCCCCGGATCAAACCAAGAGCAAAAGCATTCCGAAGCTAGTCAGGCAATCACTACATCTTTCAGTACACCAAGGTTAGAGGGAGGACAAGTTGGTGGTGATCACCACTGATCACTAATCTCCTGTTTCTCCACCGTAATCGCAGCTCCCACTTTCGAAATTAAAATTGGCCACGCTGTTGGTGTTGTTTATGGTATAATTCTACGTCGGCACGGGCTGTCGCCGACGATGACGTCATTTACGGTCTCGGGCCGCTCGCGCCAGGCAATGCACTAACCCATCAAAAAACAAAATGTGGGGATATACGCACCACGTGAAAGCGGATCTCACACAGAACCACATTACGGGGTTAGTGGCGACAACGGAGCCCAAGAAGAAGCGGATGCTTTGGAGCACGCAGCCTCGCCACCACCACTCCAAACCTATCAAAACCCCGACTCATTTACCCTGTTTCAACCTTGTTCTTACCCGGTAGTTGCATGTCACAGGCGACACCTCGTACTCGCTTCCCCTCACCTCGCCACGGTGTCAGACACCCGTGATCCAGCAAAAATTGCCCGGGGCGTTCAGCTAGTGAGGGGCGGCTGTCGGGGG